TGCCACCTGCCAGGGGACATTAGCCAACATTAGACAACCATCTAGAGACAATTCTGGTTGTCATAAGTGGAGGAGGGTGGTACTGGCATATAGTAGATCAAGACCAGGGAAGCGAATCAACATCCTACAATGCACAGGGTAGCCCCACAATTAAGAATGATCGGTCCCAAATGTCTATAGTGCTAAGGCTGAGAACCCATGGCTAGAAAATCACACAATGAAAGGCAAGACAGAAAACTTAGGAGGACCAGCTCCTGCTGGCCTCCATTACGGGCTGACCCCAGGGCTATCTCATTCAGTGGGGAAGTGTCACCAGCACTATTCAGATTCATTTCTTTTTTTTCAGGCTCATTTCTTAACTCTCTTTCTTCTGCTGAGCATTTAAGCTAAATGAGTCTACAACATGGGTCCACTGTAGTAAAAATAGCTACCATTTACTGACTGTTTACTGCTGTGTGCTGAGACAGGTGGTAAATAATTTATATGTATTAATTCAGCCAATGGTCCCAGCAACCATGAGATAGATATGATCATTACTGGTGGGAAAATTGAGGCTCAACAGGGTTAAGAATTTGCCTAAAGTCACTCAGAGAGTACAAGGTAGAGCCAAAACGCAAATCCAATTAATAGGGCAAAACCTGTGCCTCACCATCACTTTATATTTAGTGGGTCTCAACTACCAATGGTTCACCTCACCCCACTGCCCCAGAACATTTTGCAATGTCTGAAGACATTTTTGATTGTCATGACCCTTGGGGCAGGAGTACAGGAAAGGGTGTGTGCTACTGGCATCTTGTGGGGCAAAGTTAGGGATGCCACTATCCCGCTTTTAAATATCCTACAAGGTATAGGGCAGCCTCTACCACAAAGACTCATACAACCTGCCCTGGCCAGTTTTGCTCAGTGGTTAGAGCATCAGCCCATGGACCAATGAGAGCCGGGTTTGATTCCGGTCAAGGACACGTACCTCGGTTGCAGTTCATCCCCAGCCTGATTGGGGTCGCGCAGGAGGCAACCAGTCAATGTGTTTCTCTTGTATCGATGTTTCTCTCTGTCTCTCTCTCTCCCTCCCTCCTACTCTAAGGATAAATGGAAAAATATCCTCAGGTGAGGATTAAAAAAAAAGAATCATACAACCCAAAATGTCAATGGGGCCAAAGTTGAGAATCCTGCTTTATACCGTATCTCTGGTTTCTATCACACATGTCCACAGGCCAGTAAGGATTCAGATGTATATGGTAATACATTTGGTAATGCTGGGATCTAGAACCCAAGATTTCCTACAGCACAAATACACTCTGCTCACCTTTTACCCATTCTTCTTTTACTTTACCATGGTGAAAATGCTACCATTAAATCCTGATGTCACTCTATAATGAAGAGTAACTCCAGAGATAGGGTGACAAGAGTTTGGGATGTATCAATAGCAAAACGCCCAGCACAAGAGAATATCCCGAAACACAAGTGGAAAACACGCAGACAGAAACTCTTTTAGGAGAGAAACATTCCAACTGGACTTTAAAAATCATGGACTACAAGAGTACCAAGAAAGGGCTGTGGGAGTTGCTGTCAGCATCCCTGAAGAGATCACCATGGCAACAAGGCCCAATAAGATGCAGTACTGGATACATCACTGGAAAGATTTCTTTGTAGAGTAGCAGCACTCTAACAGGTCCCACTCAAACCAGTGGTTTCTCAACCCTTACTGCATTATTAGGATAACCTGTGTTGCTTTCTAATTATACAGATGCCCAGGGCCCACCTAACACCTAATAGAATCAGAATGGGTGGGATTTAGAGACTGAGCATTTGTGGTTTTAAGAAAGCTTCCTAGTCTCCCAGTAAGTGTGGCTTGGTGGACTGAGCGTCGTCCCATGGACTGAGAGATCCTGGTTCGATTCCCAGGCAGGGCACATGCCTGGGTTGCAGGCTCGATCCCCAGTAGGGGGCATGCAGGAGGCAGCCAGTAAATGTTTCTCTCTCACACTGATGTTTCTATCTCTCTCTCTAAAAAATTAATTAAAAAAATAAAGAAAGCTCCCTAGGCAATCCTGATGCCCAGACTGGGCGGCCAGCCAATGCCTTAGACTCATACTGAAGTGGCAATGGCCCAGAGAAGAGAGACAAAGGGTTTGAGGATGGATCAGTTTAGGATCCCTCTCTGGAGAATCAGAATCCAAGAGAGCATCTGGAGCTTAAACAGCAAGAGGGAAAGCACATGGATGGGGGCAGTCCTTAAAGCTTCATCATGCATAGGCAAGGAAATCTTAGCTTACAGTGGATAAGAAGTTAAACATCCAAGCCAAATCCAGAAATGGAGTCATGAAATACATAATGACCAATTAAAGGATGGCAGAAATATATGAGGCATAAAAAGCCACTGAAAGTTGATTTCCTGAGGACAACTATGCCAGAACTAGTGCCAAAGGCAAAGTACTAGGTGAATGCGGCATTTATAAAGCAAAAACATTCCATTTCTCTATTTTACATTTACCCATTCAACTGTGTAATTTATAATTGACAGTTGCGCCCTGGCCGGTTTGGCTCAGCGGTTAGAGCGTCGGCCTGCGGTCCAGAGAGACCCGGGTTCGGTTCCCGCTAAGGGCACGTACCTCGGTTGCAGTTTGTCCCCGGCCCTGGTCCGTCGTGAGGGTGGCAGCCACTCGATGTTTCTCTCTCTCTCTCTCTCTGTTCCTCTCTCTCCCTCCCACTCTACCTGAACAAAAAAATGGGAAAATGTCCTCGGGTGAGGATTAAAAAAAAAAAAAAAAATTGACAGTTGCTGTGTCAGGTATATGCCAGAAATGGTATCCCTGGAAAACAGGAATCCATAACTTTCTTTTTATGTTAAAAGATACACCTCACAATGAAGGTCTTCACTGAATTCATCCATCTGACAAACATTTCTTGGATACCTATTCTGTGGCAGGCACTGTTCTAGATGTTAAGAGCTCCATCAGTAATAACGACAGATAGAAAATCTTGCCCGTGTGGAGCTTATATTCCAGTAGAAGAGTAGTTGAACAAACAAGCAAACTTAGCATGCCAGATGGTGATTAAGTGCTGTAGAATAAAATAAAGCAGGATAAAGGGGAAAGGGAATGTGGATACAATTTAACATAGATGGCCACAGAAAGTCTCAATAACAAAGTAATCTTTGAGTAAACACCTAAAGGAGGTGAAGGAGTGGGCCATGAGGATATATGGGGGAGTAATTCAGGCAGAGGAACCAGCAGGTACAAAGGCATAATGGAGGAGTTTATGGACTATTCAAGGAACAATGAGAAAGCCAGAGTCAGGGAAAGAGTGGTGGGAGAGGAGAACAAGGAGGTATCAGGGGACCACAATGGCTTCCAGGTCGAGCAGTTGTTAAATGGGTAAGAGTGGAAGAGAAGCCCAAGGGGCAGTTGGTGGTAAGTGGTCACCCTCTGGAACTATTTGTTAAGGTAGAACAGATAGGATTTGCTGTAGCCTATAAGAGAAAGAGAGGAGCCAAGGTGACTTCAAGGTTTGGGGCTGATTCAAAGAATGGACTTGCCATTTACTGCAATGGGGTAAAGACTGTGGGACGGGAAGATTTTGGGGGAAAAGACAGGGATTCTGTTTGACATGCCTATTAGACATCAAATGGAAATGTCGAATATGATGTTGGATATATTAGTCTTGATATCAAAAAACTGAATGAAACGAAGATGTAAATACATAAAGTATGTCATATTGATTCTCATTTATCCAGTCCCTCTTCTGCCTTTCAATGGATCTTATCAATGGAATGCTCAACCCTCTATGGGCTCCCTTATCTTACAAAAGAGATGTGGCATAAAATGGCCAAGGTAGCAGGGGTTCTGAAGCCAAATCTCATTGATTCACATCCCTGCTCCTTACTGGCTGTGTGACCTGCTTTGCACAAATAACTTAACCACACTCAGTTTCCTTACCAGGAGCACAGGGCTACAGTACCTACCTCATGGAGCTTTTGTGAGTAATACCGGAGATAACACAGGATGATCAAGACATTGAATGAACATTACCTGGTACCATCCCAATGCTCCACCAGGGTGAGCACTTATTACCAATTCATGCATTCACGCAGTTCACTATGGAAACCTCAGGACACCCTCCGATAGCAGGGAGCATGGTATTGGGAACCAGGGCCAGGCAGGGTGAGACCTCGCCTGTAGCTGTGCACCTAGAAAAGGAGGGAGCTAAAAATAGGCCTCGGAAGTCCTGAAGCTACAGCGACATCAACAACACCGTTAATTTAAGCAGACATCTGCTTATGGAGTGTTTTCTCCGGGGATTCGGAACTGTAACCTTGTCAAAAACATTCAGGTGGGATGTCAGCGCTCCCCAGAAGAGGGGATCACAGTCTCTGTCTCTCTCTAGAAGTGCAGCAAAAAAGGGCCAAAGAGAAGCCAGGACTTTCAGCGACCCACATCCTGTGGCCGGGCCTAAATGCGGGTAGATGAGGCGCTACTCTCAGGTCGCCACGAAGGATCGCGGGGAACTGGCGGGAACTGGGGGCCGAGTTCGGCGCGGGGGGTGAAAACAGACCGGGCGTCCTCCGTTTCTCGGAATGGGGAAGGCCCGCGGAGGACGTGAACTCCACGGGACTAGTGGGTGGGTCGGCCAGACAGCCAGGCCGGGGGTGGGTGGTTGGGGGGTAGGCCGGGTCCCGGAGAACGAGGGGGCGGGGAGGGAGTGTGGCGCGCTGGGCCCACCACCAGGCCCTGAGATCTATTTACAACCGAAGTTGAGGCGATGAGGCCGTGCCTCCCATGCCTATCAGCCCTCGGCCTGGTCCGCGAAGCACAAGGTTGCCACCAGGCTCCCAGCGGCCTTCTGAACCCTCTAGCCGAACGGTGGCAGGGTCGGGGCTGCCGGGAGTGATGGGCCGAGCCGGTGAGCCCGGCCTGAGGGGACGCAATGGGGGGCGGCTGCAGGATCCACTGCGCTACTATTCCAGAACAGATGGGCCCCCAGCACTCCGGGGTGCTCACCCCTCGGGCCTGTGGCCTCTGGACCTTCCCCCGCCCGTTCGCTGGCCGCCAGCTGGTCCCCGACGGCGCCTCCCCTACCTTCGTTCGCCAGATCCGCCATTTTACTTCCTTAAGCCCTCCCACAAGGCCCCGCGCCGGCCGCCGCTCTCCAGCTTTCTGCCAGAAACTCGCGCGCGTGCGCACTTCCCAAGCCGAATGCGAGCGTGGAGGGCAGCTCGCGCCTGCGCGCTCAGCCCGACCGGAGTCGAACTCAGTATTGCTGTTAGGGCCGGGCCAAGTTCCGAGCACCGGCCTGGGCACTAACCGCCCCCTCCTCCTTTTCCCGCCGACCAAGGGGCGTGGACAGGGCAGGGCACATGCGCAGTGCCCCTTGCGAGCGTCGCAGGCTACCGGGAACACACGTTCTGTAAGGGGGCGCGGCGGGCGCGGGATCTTGACACCTTGCTTACTGCTTGTTTTCCGCGGGGATCCCAGTGGTGGGAGAGTGAGTCATGCAGAGCGCTGCGACGGAAGGCTTCCCTCTAGGTAAATACCTGGGTCTGCCGGCGTTGAGAGGTGAAGGAGGAAGGACTTTTCACACACGCAGGTCTGAGGCCCGAGGGGGTGGCCTGCTTCGTGGTTTTTGCTCTCTGTCAATTCGGGCTTCACTTTCCCCTTCTAAGGGGCAAGTACAGTGGGCAAATGCTTTCTTAAGGCGACATGGGAGGTGGGGAATGTTTGGGGGTGGGAAGCAGAGATCAGAGGTCTAACAAAACTGGCCGAAGGGGGCGTGTCAGTGGGGAGGGACACAGGTGTTGGCTGGAAGACCCAACCTAAGGGACTTGATCTCTCTGAGCCAACACAATGGGAGCTCCAGGATGGCCACACCCCGGTGCCATGAATGGAACAGTGCCCTGGCACAGATAGGGGGCCTGGAGTTTCATCTGTAAAATGGGCTGATCAACCCCAGAAGCTTGATGTGAGAATCTCTCAGAACACCTGGTGGGGCTCTGCCTTGCTCTCCAAAGTCCAACCCAGACCACCGGTTCTCATCAGTTTGGCTGTCACCACCCAGGCCACACCATCTTCCTCTTTCTCCTGGAAGACTAAATAGCTCCTCTCTCTCCCCTCTCCTTCCTTTCATTCTTCTAGAGCTCCAGGCTCCGTTCTGCACACAGCAGCACGCAGAGGATTCTTTTAAAAATGTAAATTGGGCCTTGGCCAGTTTGGCTCAGCGGTTGGAGTGTCGGCTTGCGGGCCAGAAGAGTCACGGGTTCGATTCTGGTCAGGGACATGTACCTCGGTGGTCCCTGGCCCTGGTTGGGGTCGTGTGGCAGGCAACAAATCGATGTGTCTCTCTCACATTAATGTTTCTCTCTCTCCCTCTAAAAAATAAATAAAGATATATTTTAAAAATGTAAATTGGATCAAGGAAACATCTTCATTAACACTTCCAAAGGGCTTTCTGCTGAATCAATTCTAAACCTCTTATTCAGGCTTACACAGCCTCCTGTGCTTTGCTGCCATGCTCCCCCTTGCTCATTGCAGTTCAGCCACATGGGTTTTTCCGTCCTTGTGAACTAGGCTACTTGACTCTATTCTGACCAATTGTTCTGGCACGTACACACCGGACCGGTTTCAAAAACCTGAGACTGACACCCAGAGGAACCAGAAAGATAAAGGGATTAATGATGGCCTTGGGAAACTTGGAGGGACCATAAAAAAGAGAAAGAGATTAACGATTGCCCTTATCCTGACCTCTGTAACAGCCCCTCTTGCCACCTCTTGTACCAGTTCCTCCCTTAACGGTACCAAAAGCAGCACCAAAAGAATGTAGTTTGAGCCTTTATAAACAGGCAGCAAAGAAGGCTCGGGGCTGTGACTTGGGAAGATTATGCCCCCACAGCCCGCTGGTGAATAAAGTGCTCCTTTCATTTACAATTTGGCTGTGCATCTCTGGTTGTCTGGTTGGCTCATCGTAACATTTGGAGGCCCCAGCAGGATCTCTGGTGCTTTGTGACACCAGGAGCTAGATGCCTAGAATGGGTGGCCTCTCCTGGGGACTAGCTGAGCCTGAGAAAAACCTCTAGGAGAGGCACCACCTGAGACATTCCAGAGCCCTGGATGTTATTCTCGGGTCTTGGAAGGGGGGCCCAGGATATGTCGTGCAGTCTCTAAATCTACAAAGGAGACCTGGTAAGAAAACCTCCAGAGGTAAGTTCTGGTGACCAGTCTATCTGGATGAGAGTGAGAGGGCTGGATGCTGGACGCGGTGCAACCTCTGCTCTCCAGGGAATTCCCCTAAGACATTAGGAGGGGTTCAAATCTGGCAAATTCTGGTTCAAATCTGGCAAATTCTGTTCCCTCGGGTCCGCTTCTGGGATGAAAGGGGAGTCTGATCACCTCTCAAGCAGCATAAATGCTGCTTAGGATAGAGAATTTATGGATGGAAATTTGAATTGTATGATTGTGTATGTGAATGACCATGCTCTACAACCCCTGTGACAGAGCCTGTGAATCCCAACCTGTGCTCCAAGGGGAGTGGCCAGGCGGACAAAGCGAAAGTTTCTGTTTCATGTGTCCTCCCTTGTTTTTGTCCTCATCCGCCTCCCTACTATGCCTCCCTCAACTTTGTTATGGTTAGTGTAATACTGGTAATGGGCCCCAAGAGAAACCTAAGGACGGGACCCCTGTACTTCCACACCCTCAGAGTCTCTCCCAATGTGTGAGTGCTGGCGGTGGCTGCGCTGAAAGGGGGGAACAGCGCTACCGCCGCCGGACCTCCAGCCTTCCACCCACCCTGGGAAGGCAGCGAAGGGCACCCAGCAACCAGGCATGCGCCGGAGGTGGCGGGCAATTGATAGGCACATGGGCACTCACCCAAAGGCCGCAGGTGCAATGAGGTCCCTCTGGGAAGGTGGTCTGGCCATGGAAGGGGTGTATTCCTCTGGTGTCAGCCCAGCCTCATCCGCTGCTCCAGGTTTGGCAGCAATGGATGCAATGACGCAAGTTCCCTGTGGGGCTCTTAACTTTGGAAAATTGAAGGTAGTGATCCCGGGCGCGGGCACAAAATCCTCTTGGGGAGAGTTGGAAAACCCTCTGCTCTACGTAAACATGCGTGCTAGGACATTGCTTCCCTTTCCTGTATTCTTTTGAAAAACGAGTCAGAGGAAATTTTCCCATCCCTCTGCCCACAAGGGGACCCAAATACTGCCAGGGGGAGGGCTTCCTTTGGATGCTTTACACCGTGTTCTCTTATTAAGCCTAAAGGTCCAATTGGTTGAAATAGCTCAAAAGGGACACCCCTGGAAAAAACAAGATAAAAGAATAGCAAAGTCAGGTTTAGAGGAAGGGAAGTCTTGGGAAATAACCGGAAATAGTAAGAAGCTAATAATAGGCATTGGTACAGGGAATCAAAGGGTTAAGAGAGAAAAATTGGTAGAAATAAATAAAAGAACAAAGTAAATAGCTGTCCTTGACTTAGAAGAATGACTGGGCCAGGGCTCCTTTCAACTCAGCCCCCGGGAGCTCAGGATCACTACACAGGTTAGAGACAAACCAGTCAATTTCTTAATAGATACTGGGCCTAGACATTCAGTCCTAACAGCTTCTGGGTCCACTAACAACTAAGAAGATCTCAATTCAAGGAGCGACAGGTCAGACTGCCCTCTACCCTTGGACAACTAACAGGACTATAAATCTTGGAAAGGGCACTATTATACACTCCTTTTTAGTTACGCCTGAATGTCCGTATCCTCTGTTAGGACATGATCTCCTTCAAAAGTTACAGGCTTGCCCTGGCCGGTTTGGCTCAGTGGTTAGAGTGTCGGCCTGCGGTCCAGAGAGACCCGGGTTCGGTTCCCGCTAAGGGCACGTACCTCGGTTGCGGTTTGTCCCCAGCCCTGGTTGGGTCATGCGGGTGGTAGCCACTCCATGTGTCCCTTCACGTCGATGTTTCTCTCTTTCTCTCTCTCCCTCCCACTCTATCTGAACAAAATATGGAAAAATGTCCTCGGATGAGGATAAAAAAATTAATTAATTAATTAAAACTTACAGGCTACAATATCATTTATTAGAGAATAAACACACCTTACTATAAACCCAGAACATCAGGACCAACTCCCTTTCTCCCCTTCGAAAATACTTGTAACCTGCCCTTTGTCGGAGGAATATCTTTTTCAGGAAGGAACCCCAGGCCCTCCGGAAATGTACCCTGATATATTGGCTTACATGAAGAAATTACAACATCTCTTCCGTTCCGTCTGGGCTGAAAGCAACTCTCCTGGACTAGCTGGCCACCAGCCACCAATTGTGGTTCAACTGCTTGCCATGGTGACTCCAGTCAGGGTAAGACAATACCCCATGAGCCACGAAGCAGAGAAGGGCATTGCCCCTCATATTCGTCGGCTATGGGAGGCTGGGATTCTGGTTCCCTGTAGAACATCCTGGAATACACCCTTGCTTCCAGTTTTGAAACCTGGCATCATAGACTTTAGGCCAATGCAAGATTTGAGGGAAGTAAACAAATGGGTCATGACCATACATCCAACAGTCCTGATCCCCTATACTCTATTGAGCCTACTTCCACCAGAACACCAGTTCTATACAGTTCTGGGTTTAGAGGGTACCTTCTTTAGCATCCCTTTAGCCCCTGTTAGCCAGCCTATCTTTGCATTTGAGTGGATCGACCCTGAGGAGGGATTTTTAGGACAGCTAACCTGGACGAGACTACCCCAAGGCTTTAAGAACTCCCCTACTCTATATGATAAGGCTCTCAGTTCTGACTTGCAAGCCTTTAGACAAGAGCACCCTGAATATACCCTACTCCAATATGCAGATGACCTTCTCCTAACAGCAAAGGACAAGGAGAATTGCCAGAGAGGTACTGAGCACCTCCTAGGCACCTTACAGACATTAGGGTACCGGGTCTCAGCCAAAAAGGCTCAATTATGTTCTCCGGAAGTCACAAACCTGGGATATAAGATTAGTAAAGGGCAGTGGACCCTTTCCCTGAGCTGCATAGAGGCCATCCTGTGAATTCCCATCCTGAAAACTAAGAAGAAAGTCAGAAAATTCCTAGGGGCAATAGGATACTGCTGCCTATGGATCCTGTGATTTGCAGCCATTGCAAAACCTCTATACGTGAGCACTGGGGGAACGCAGCCTCTAGTCTGGACTGAGACAGAACAAGAGGCTTTTGAAACCCTGAGAAAGGCCCTGGTGTTGGCACTGGCTCTCACCCTGCCTGACATTACAAAGCCCTTCCATTTATATGTAAGTGAGGCAAGAGGAATAGCAAAGGGAGTCCTCACTCAAGACTTGGGACCCTGGAAGAGACCAATAGTTTACTTATCCAAAAGACTAGATCTGGTAGCAACCGGCTAGCCTGCCTGCCTCCGGGCAATAACAGCTACTGCACTCCTAGTAAAGGAGGCAGACAAGTTAACTTTAGGGCAAGAGTTAACTTTAACTGTACCCCATCATCTGGAGTGCTCTGGAGTGCTCCGGAGCGCTGGATGTCAAACACCCGAGTCACCCAGCTCCAGGCACTCCTGGATCAACCCTGCCTCAAATTCCACAAAATGTTGGCCATCAATCCTGTTATTCTGCTCCCCAATGATGACCCGAAGGAACCTCTGCATGACTGCCTGGAGGTAATTGACACAGTGCAGACAGCCTTTCCAGACCTCAAGGGTGTCCCACTGCCATCATCAGATGAGGTATTGTTCACAGACGGGAGCAGCTCTATCCAAGAAGGAATCAGGTATGCTGGGGCAGCAATAGTAACTCTAAACCATGTCATTTGGTCTCAGTCATTAAGTAAGGGAACTTCAGCTCAAAGGACCGAACTCGTGGCCCTGATCCAGGTCCTATGCTAGGGAAAGGATAAATCAATAACCATCTATACGGACAATAGGTATGCTTTTGCCATAGTACATGTGCATAGTGCCATTTATCGGGAACAAGGACTTCTGACCTCAGCTGGGAAGGATATTAAAAATAAGGAAGGAATTCTTGCTTTATTAGATACAATTTGATTACCAAAGCCTGGAGGTATAGTACATTGTAAAGGACATAAAAAAGAGAACTCCATAGAGGCACAGGGAAATCATGCTGCAGATCAGGAAGCTTGAGAGGCAACCCTAAAACCAGTGGGGCCTCTCCAGATATTAGTCGCCATGCCATACCCAAGTTTGCCTTTGACTTCTACTTACACTGGGTCAGAAAATGACTTAGCCAAGCAGAAACAAGTCACAAAGGAAAGCAATGGATGGTGGATACTGTCTGATGGGCGGTTGTTGGTCCCAGAGGCTCTAGAGAGGACTTTAATTAATCAGCTGCACCAAACCACTCATTTAGGCCACACCAAGCTTACTGAACTCCTGAGAGGCAGGTACTTAATACCCAATTTAGACAATATAATAGATAGCACTGTATCCAGGTCCACGACCTGTGCCCAGGTTAATGTTAAGCAGGGTAGAAAAGCTCCCCTGGGAATCCAGGCCCGGAGAGCCTCCCCAGGGGAACATTGGGAAATAGATTTTATAGAAGTTAAGCCCCCAGTGTCAGGACATAAATACCTCCTAGTTTACTTAGACACTTTCTCTGGGTGGGTTGAGGCTTACCCTACTAAAACAGAGATAGCCACCATTATAGTTAAGAAACTACTCCAGGAAATCGTTCCTAGATTTAGGTTACCTGTGACTCTGAGGTCAGCGATGGCCCTGCCTTTGTAACAAGAATATCACAGGACATAGCCAAGGTCCTGAATATTAATTGGAAATGGAATATTAATTAAATGGAAACTCCATTGTGCCTACCGACCCCAAAGCTCAGGGCAGGTAGAGCACATGAACAGAACTTTAAAGGAAATCTTAACCAAATTTACTTTAGAAACTGGTGAAAACTGGACCACTCTTCTCCCCCTCGCCCTCTTACGGGCAAGGTGTACCCCATACTGGGAGGGATTCTCCTCTTAAGAAATTATGTATGGTAGACCTCCTCCCATTCTTCCCAAGCTCAGGGAAGAATTGAAGGCTGAAATTCACAACTACTCCTTACTCAATTTCTTGCAGGCCCTGAAGTTTGCCCAGAAGGCTGTCCATAAACATGTCCATGATGCCCTGCCTGTGCCCACCTTGGACCCTGTGCACCCCTTCCAGCCCAGGGACTCAGTGTGGATAAAGAAGTTCACCACCCAGGTACTAACTCTGGCCTGGAAGGGAACATACACTGTCATCCTGACTACACCAACGGCTATCAAGGTCAACGGCATCCCAACCTGGCTGCACCATTTTCAGCTGAAGGCGGAAAAAGCAAAATGGACAGTCTATGCCTCTCCAGACCCCTTACAGATGAGACTCTTGTGTTCACTGGGACCTTAATTTTTCTGGTCATGACTGTTCAGGAGAATCCTTATAGACCTGGGCCCCAGTGGAACTGGGAACTTAGAAATGGAATATCAGGGAAGGTCTTAAGAAATGTCACCACAAAGGGGATGGAAAAACCTGTTTTCAATCTTGACCTATGTGACCTCATGAAAGGCGCCATAGGCACAAAAGATATTACTGAGGATGATACAGAAGAAATAGACCCATACCCTGGGGTTGTGGGACATCTCTGAGGGAATGGGGGCTACAAGGGGTAGGAATCTATATATGCCCAGGGAGCAGTACAGTCACTGCAAATTGCTCGAATGTCCATCTTGGGATTGTAAAACCATATCTACTATTACGGGCTATTTAAGAAACAGGGACCCTCATATAGATTTTATTTTATTATTATTATTTTTTATCCTCACCCGAGGACATTTTTCCATTTTTTGTACAGACAGAGTGGGAGGGAGAGAGAGGAAGAGAGAGAGAGGGAAACATCGATGTGAAAGGGACACATCGAGTGGCTGCCACCCGCACGACCAACCAGGGCCGGGGACAAACTGCAACCAAAGTACATGCCCTTAGCGGGAACCGAACCCGGGTCTCTCTGGACCGCAGGCGGACGCTCTAACCACTGAGCCAAACCGGCCAGGGCCCTCATATAGATTTTAAAAGGTTAACCAAGCCATGGAGTCTCCCTATAGGGAACTCTAACCCCATTCAGATTGAGGTCACTAGTCAGCCACACCTTTATTGGGCTACAGGAAGGACATGGGGACTGAGGCTATATGTAACTGGTAAAGACCCTGGAATTCTATTCACCTTTGAGAAGATTACAGAAAAACAAAAACAAATAACCCCCAGTGGCGCATTAGGAGAAGACTGTTTCTATGCTAACAACTCAGGGGTTAGATGCGAATACATATCTTCAGTTAGGAGAAATATGGAACGAAAAAGAAGGAGATGGGAATCTGAGAATTGGTTCCAACAAATGTTTAACTGATCTCCATGGCTAACAACTTCATTATCTGCCATTATGCTTACTCCTAACCTTTGGGCCATGTATAATAAACTACCTCATGGAAACTATACAGAGGAGAATAAATTCTATAAAACTCCTTGTAATTAAAGGACAATATAGACCTGACCCAGAGGAGGAAGGAAAGTCAACAATTTGACTTATACATAAAACCAGTGGGGAATGAACTAGGCTACTTGACTCCATTCTGACCAGTTGTTCCGGCAGGAGGTACACACTGGAGCAGTTTCTAAAAACCTGGGACTGACACCCAGAGGAACCATAAAGATAAGGGGAATAATGATGGCCTTGGGAATCTCGGAGGGACAATAAAAAAGAGAAAGAGATTAACAATTGCCCTTCCCCTGACCTCTGTAATAGCTCCTCTCATATCCGTTCCTCCCTTAATGGCACCAAAAACGGTGCCAAGAGAATGTAGTTTGAGCCTTAATAAGCAGGCAGCAAAGAAAGGCTCGGGGCTGGGATTTGGGAAGATTATGCCCCCACAGCCCGCTGGTGAATAAAGTGCTCCTTTCATTTACAATTCTGCTGTGCATTTCTGGTTGTTTCGCTGCCTCATCGTAACACTTGGAGCACATCAGACTCCTTCCAGCCTCAAGATCTTTGTATTTGTTGATCCCTCTTCTTGGGACTTGGAGTTCTATATCTTAATCTAGGTTTGAATCCCAGTTTCACTCCTTCTCCAGGCTGACCTAAAGGAGGAGGTCCTGTAGCTTGTGGGCCACATCTGCTCTGTGAGCTAAGAATGGTTTTAGATTTTCAACTGTTGGAAAAAGTCAAAAGAGTAATATCTTAGGGCATGTGGAAATTGTATGAAATTTAAATTGCAATGTCCATAAATATAGCTTTATTTGAAAACAGCCACATTTACTCATTTATATAGTCTATGGCTGCTTTCCAGCTGCAACAGCAGAACTAAGTGCTTTTAACAGACACTGTCTGGCCAACAAAATTTAAAATACTTATTATTTGGGTCTTTATAGAAGTTTGCCAACCTCTAATCTAGTACACGTGTATACGTTGTCCTATATGTATCTGTAGAACCAAGGGAGTGTTGTAAATGTTCAACATCTGCTTCTCTGAGGGAAAATGTGTGTGTCAATATGTATGTATGTATGTATTTATGTGTATATGTGTGTGTCTATGTGTGTATAGTTTATTATAAATTTTACTATTGTCCTATCACTTTCTTACGTCTAAAAGGCAATAAAACAATTGAACCCCAGTTTGTGGTGCTGATTTTCTTGGTATAAATACTTCATGGTGTATTTTAGACTAGTGGTGTGAATGTCACTAACTGCAAAGTTGGGAAGAGATGCATAGTAGCACACTCGATTTTTTTCTAGACTTTGCTACTTTCTTAGTGGTCCCCAAACAAGCAGCACTCACATTACCTGAAAGCTTATTAGAAATAATCCTGAATCAGAAGCTGCATTTTTAACAAGCTACTCAGAGGCTTCTTATGCACATTAGATATTGATACTCACAGTTCAGAAACTTTTTTTTTTTTTCACCTGAGAAAACTGTTTAATGAGATCGGGGGATATGGCATAGCCCTGTACAAAAACACTAAATTTTGATTATGGAGAAAAGACAGGAAGAGAGGAAAGTAGACTTGCAGTGAGAGGGGGAAGCTTTTCAGTTGGCTGGGGGAGGGGGTGGAATGTTTCCAGGGCCGTTGGAGGGCAGTGGGGGTCTCAGCATGGGGGGCAGGGGAGCTGGGGGGTGGACCCCAGGATTGGGGGGATGGACCCCAGGAGGCTGGGGGTGAATCCCAGGGGCTGAGGGGTGGACCCCTGGAGCCTGGGGGTGGACAGAAGCAGCTTGTGGGTGCACCCCTGGGGCCTGGGGGTGGACACCAGCAGATGGGGGAGGGTGGACTCCTGGGGCTGGAGGGTGGACTCCTGGGGCTGGAGGGTGAACCCCAGGAGCAGGGGGATGGACTCCAGATGTTGGTGGGTGGACCACTGGTGCTGGGGGATGGACCCCGGGAGCTGGAGGGTGGACCCCAGATGTTGGTGGGTGGACCACTGGTGCTGGAGGGTGGACCCGGGGAGCTGGGGGGGGCAGCTGGGGAGGGCCCGGGGGTCCTGTAGGTGTAGGCCCACTGGGTGGCATGGGGGGCAGAGGTAGGCCTCCTGGTGGGGGTGGAGGCAAAGACTCAGGCAGTGGTGGCCGTGGGGGCAAACCATTCATTAGTGGGGGTGGTGGCCGCTTCACCCCAGGAGGCCCAGTGGGGAGGCTTGGTGGGGCAGGCGGCTTTTCCATCTTAAAGTGGAACTGAAGGAAGAACTGCTTGGTTTCCCGGTTCCAGTGAGTCCAAAACTTGCCCTCAGCCTTGTCGATTTCTCTGCTCGGCACCTTGAAAGCAATGGTCTCACAGGGTTCAGCAGCCATAAGCAGATACTGCCAGCGCCGGTCTGGGGGCTCGATTCTCTGCTCGTAGGCAGACATGAAGCGGTGGCGTGGCATGATACCATCAGCAATCTCAGGATAGTCGATCTGGAAGAGGAGGCTCTGCTGGCCCATTTCTGTGTCCCTCTGCTTGGTCACTTTATAGCCCGGGCGGCCAATCTTCACAAACTTCGTTACTTACACCTTGACCTTCTCTGTCGCTGGCTGGGCTGGGGCCTCCTTGGCTGCTCACCGGGCCAAGTTGGTCTGGTGCTTTTCCCCCTGGGTGTGTGTGAGGTAGCTCCCCTCGTTGTTGTGGAGTGTCAGGCACAGCTTGCATTCATGTGAGCCCAGGTGGTTCTTCAGGAAATAAGGGTCCTTGTTGATGTCTATGGTCTCCAGGGCCAGCTGTCGGAGATGCTCCCTCCGGTCACGGTCACGGTTGCTCTCAAAAGAGGAGGCCATGCCCCCGCTCCCAGTCTTGCCCCCAGGACGATGCTGGAAGTCCATGGAGAGGGCCTTGGGGCTTTACTGGTCTGGGGAGATACCTGCACCCGAAGACGTGATCACGTCGCTTTTTCAGCCACTGCCGCTGCTATGACTTCCCAGAAACTTTTAAGTGGAATTTTTATTTATTATTGGGGGTAGGGTATGTTTAATACTATTAAAAATTTCTCCAACTTTATTTAATAGACATTTGGATTCTGTTACCTTAGATTTTGCCACCAGACTACAGACACAGGCCACAGAACTTGAGTCAGAAATTCTCCAAGAACAGCTAGAATATCGGTGCTAGAAAGGGCCCTGGTGGTGGTGGTGGTGGTGGGGTCATCAAGTCCACCTGGTGGTCTTCAGCAGTGTGTAGACTTAGGTTTTCTCATTTCTAGCTTGTTGGCTTCATTATATTCATTATATATTATTACATATAACCCTTTCTTGGCCTTTGCCATATCTCTGAACCTTTGACCTTTAATGAATTAATACTTTTCTTTCTTTTTTTTTTTTTATCCTCACCCGAGGACATTTTTCCATTTTTTGTTCAGGTAGAGTGGGAGGGAGAGAGAGAGAAACATCAATGTGAAAGAGACACATCGAGTGGCTGCCACCTGCACAACCAACCATGGCCGGGGAGAAACTGCAACCGTGGTACGCGCCCTTAGCGGGAACTGAACCGGGGTCTCTCAGGACCGCAGGCCAACGCTCTAACTGCTGAGCCAAACTGGCCAGGGCAATTAATACTTTTCTTTTTCTGCCTTTTTATTGGTTTAAAGTTATGTTAAATAGATACTGTAGCCCTGGCCGTGGGCCCGATCCCCAGTGGGGGGCATGGAAGTGGCTAGTGTCGGCCCATGGACTGAAGGGTCTTGGGTTTGATTCCTGGTCAAGTACACATACCTGGTTGCAGGTTCTATCCCTGGCTCAGGTCAGCGTTGGTTGGGGTCATGCAGGAGGCAACCAATTAATGTGTTTCTCTCTCTCTCCTCATCCCTCCCTCTACTCTATCTAAAAATCAATGTTCTTGGGTAAGGATTAACAACAACAAAAATAGATACTGTATATCACCATTTAAGATAGAAAACTGCAAGCTGTGAATAGAAGGTGATTGTAAAAGTAAACAGGGCCCTGGCTGTTGTGGCTTAACTGGTTGAGCATCATCCAGGCACTGAAAGTTCACTGCTCCAATTCCCAGTCAGGGCACATGCCTGGGCTGTGGGCTCGATCCCCAGTAGAGGGTGTGCAGGAGGCAGCTGATCAATGTTTCTCTTTTTCTCCCTTCCTCTCTCTCTAAAAACAGAAAATAAAATCAATAAAAACATTTTTTAAATGTTTTAAAAATAAACAGGAAGCCCTGGCCGCTTTGGCTCAGAGGTTGGAGCATCAGCCGGCAGACCAAAGAGTCCCGGGTTTGATTCCCGCTAAGGGCACGTATCTCGGTTGCAGTTTGTCCCCGGCTCCAGTTGGGGTCGTATGGGTGGCAACCACTGGATGTGTCTCTCTCACGTTGATGTTTCTCTCTTTCTCCCTATCTCCCTCCCGATCTATCTGAAGATCAATGCAAGAATGTCCTCAGGTTAGGATTAAAAAAAAAACAAAACAAATAAATAAATAGGAAAACAAAATAGGGTTTAAAAATTCTGGGTGGCTACTGTTGCCTGCCAAGGTGCTGAGTCCCAAGCCTGCTTTCCTTTGATGTAAAGAGAGATTAGCGAAATACTAGAGGAGGATTAAAGGCATGTTATCACTCAACTGAACTTTCTCCTTGACAGGATGAGAAGGAGAGAATGATCATTGAAAATGGGATAACTATAATCCATGTGATTTGGTGTCATTTAATGCCATGTCTACAAGTCTTCTAAAGACATTTCATACAATATATTCATCGCACACTTTGGGAAACTCCCAGAAACACGTCATCACTTGCTAAATATAATCCAGTTGTGGTTTTTCAAGGCACATTGAGAGATGCTAAACGCATCAGCCTGACAGGCCAACTGAATTTCCACTGGTTTCTCAATTTTCATCACAGTGTCAGCCACTGCCAGCATCATGCCCTTTAGGCTTTCTTTTGCTTTTTTTATTTGGTCTCCTCTAACAAATAAACTTAATCAATATTTATTTATTAATCAAATATTTGTTCAAAATCGACTGTGGTGGTTTTATTTTTATTATTGTTTTTTAAAATATGTTTTTATTGATTTTTTAGAGAGAGATGAAGGGAGAGAGAGAGAGAGAAATATTAATGTGAGAGAGAAACATCAATTGGCTGCCTCTTGCACGCCCCTTGTCTGGGATCAAGCCTGCAATCTAGGCATGTGCCCTGACCAGAATCAAACTGGGATGTCTCAGTCCATGGGACAATGCTCAGTCCACTGAACCACACCGGCCAGGCCCTACTGTGGTGGTTTTAAAATATGGCCCCAGCCCGGCCGGTGTGGCTCAATGGCTGAGCGTCAACCCATGCACCAAGGGGTTGCTGGTTCAATTCCCGGTCAGGACACATGCCCAGGTTGTGGGCCGATCCCCAGTGGGGGGCATGCAGCAGGCGGCCAATCGATGTTCTCTCTCACTGATGTTTCTATCTCTCTCTCCCTCTCCCTTTCTCTCTCTCTCAAATTAATAAAGAAAAATAAAATAAAATATTGCCCCAAATTATTTGACCTTCTTCCCATCAAGAGATGAAGTCTCTGTTCCCTTCCCTTTAATGGACATGGGCTTATTACTGGTCTATCAATATGGTAGAAATGACACTCTGTAACTCATAAAACTAGGTCATAACAGGAACAGAGGATTTAACTTCCTCCTGCTCTGCTGGAACACTTGCTCTTAAAAGCCTTCACCCATCATGTAAGCAGCCCCACTGTCCTGAGACTGCCACGCTGTAAGGAAGCTGAAACACAGAGATCACAACCCCCCTGAGAGGGAATTGCCCAGCCTAGCCCTTGCCATTCCTCACCCACAGAAACCATGAAAGATAAATTACATGATGGTTGCTGTAATAAGCCACTAAATTTTGGGGGTATTTGTTATGCAGCAATATATATCCACCAAACTTACTATGCATCAGGTACTGCTTTACATGTTGGGGTTCAGGATGAACAAGGTAGACTCTACCTTCCTGGGGCTTTGCATTCTTCTGTAGGGAGACTGACAATAGACAAGTAAGCAAAATAATGTGAAATAGTGACTAGTGCCACAAAGAAAAAATAGCATATTGTGAGAGTCACAGAAAGGGGATATTTTATTAAAAAAAATTTTTTTTATTGATTTTAGAGAGAGGGAGAGGAAGAGAGAGATGAAAACATTGTTGAGAGAGAGCATCAATTGGCTGCCTCTTGCATGCCCCCCACTGGGGACCGGGCCCACAGCCTGGGCATGTGCCCTGACCAGGAATCAAACCAGCAACTTCTTGGTGCATGGGACGATGCTCAACTACTGAGCCACACCAGCTGGGCAGAAAGGGGGTACTTTAGATTGGCTGGTTAGGGAAGTCCCCTCTGAGGGGATGACATTTTAGTAAATCTAAAGAAGCATTCTGGACAGAACAGTGAGTGCAAAGGTCCTGAGGCAGGAACCAGGTTAGTGAGTTGGAGAAGCAGTGAGGAGCTCAGTGTGGGCCAGAGCAGAGTGAGGATATGAGGTCAGGGAGGGGCAGGCAGGTCCTTGTAGGCCTCAGCAAAGAATTTGGAGTTTTTCCTAATACAAGGGTTAGAAGTGGGAAATGGAGGGATCCAAATTGTTTACTTTAAACTGCTGACCAGCCTCTCTGCTGCCTGCTTCCTCCTTGATTTACCAGCAGACGAGTCCGAGGTACCCCTGAACCCTGGCTGAGCTTTGAGAACTATGAACTTCCTTATCTACAGCCAAGATGGAAAATGGGTTTTATATTTGGGCTCCAGGTAAAAGAGCCTTATAACTGTAACTTAGTTCTTGTTTTCCTATTGTGGGCAAGGAGCTAGCATGTAAAGAAGTATCTGCCCTGTGCCCAGCCCCACACTGAGACCAAGGACCCAGAGATGAATCAGATACAGTTCCCTCCCTCAAGGAGCTCAGAGTCAGGTGGGAACAGATGGAAGTCATCCTGGTTGCCTCTCCTGCTCAGCACCATTCCCTTGTCCTCTCTTAGTCCTGTGAGTTCCTGACAGCAAGAGGTCCAGTGTAGTTGACACTAACACTGAGAGGGGGACCCCTGACCTAAACTGGGTATATCCGCTTCCCTTTCATAGCCTGCAGCAGTGAAATATGGTATGGAAATACTTACTTACTCTATTTTATTTGTAATTAAAAATTTTTAAACTTTTACCCTGGCTGGTGTGACTTGGTTGGGCATCGTCCCATGCACCAAAAGGTTACTGATTCAATTCCCAGTCAGGGCACTTGCCTGGGGTTTGGGCTTGATCCCCAGCAGGAAGCATGCAGGAAGCAGCCAGTCAATGGATGTTCTGCTCTTGCACTGATGTTCTCTTTCTCTCTCCCTTCTTTCTCTAAAAATCAATACAAATATATTTAAAATTTTTTGACTTTCAAATTAAAATAAATTCAGACTTACCAAAAAGTTGCAGAAATAGTACCAAGACATTCCACATAGCTTTCACCCAGATTCCCCAATATTCACATCTTAGGTAAACAACACAATGATCAAAACTAGGAAAATAACACTGATGCAATACTATTAATGTACAAACCTTAGTCAAATTTCATCCATTCATCACCTACGTCTCCTTTCTGTTCCAGGATCCAATATCCATCCATGCATTTAGATGCCATTTCCCCAGTCTCCTTCAGTAGAGTTCAATTCCTCAGTCTTATTTTTCTTTACCATGACACTGGTAACAAGTATTGCCCAATCATTTTGCAGAATACCCTTAATTTGGGGTTTGTTTAATGTTTACTCTTGATTAAATTCAGGTGATGCATTTTGGATGAGAATAACATGGGGTTGATGTTGTGTTTTCAGTGCATCCTCTGAGGAGGCACATGATGTTGACTCGTGTCATCACTGATAATAACTAAGATCATTTGGTTTAGATAGGGTCTGCAGATTAATACTTTCCCCTTTGTAATCATTTAATATCTAGCTGGGAGATAAATAGGGAATATTTGAGGAAGAGAAAGAGAGGCATAGGGAGAAAAGAGCTTGTGGTCTTTCTAGGCAATATTGCAATTTAGTACATAAAACAGCCCATTCTAGGTAAAATCTGAGGTTGCAGTGCCCAGGAGACCAAAAGGAAAAGGCTGAGTCACATAGTGACCACTAGGGGGCAGCAGAAGATTGGGATGAATTCAAAATAGACCCAGGAAAAAACAATTCATTCCTACTTATTTTTTAAATTGATTTTAGAGAGAGAGGAAGGGAGAGGGGGAGAGATAGAGACATCGATGAGAGAGAACATCGACTGGCTGCCTCCTGCATGCACCTCCACTGGGGATCGGGCCTACAACCTGGGCCTGTGCCCTAACTGGGAATCAAACCAGTGACCTCTTGGTGCATGGGTCGACACTCAATCACTGAGCCACACTGGCCGGGCAATATCCTACTTCTTTTTTGAAAAATCCTCATCCGAGGATATTTTTCCATTTATCTTCAGATAGAGTGGGAGGGAGGGAGGGAGGGAGGGGAAGAGAGAGAGAAAAACATCTACGTGAGAGGGACACATTGAGTGGTTGCCTTCTGCAGGACCCCGACCAGGGCCGGGGAGGAACTGCAACTGAGGTATGTGCCCTCGACCGGAATCAAACCCTCGGCTCACTGGTCTGTGGGCCAACGCTCTAACCACTGAGAAAACTGGCCAGGGCGATCCTACTTTTAAAAAAAATACTTTTTAATTGATTTGTGAGAGGAAGGGATAGTGTGTGTGTGTGTGTGTGTGTGAGAGAGAGAGAGAGAGAGAGAGAGAGAGAGAGAGAGATTTGTTGTTCCACTTATTCATTCATTGGTTGATTCTGTATGTGCTCTGACTAGGGATGGAACCTGTGAACCTTGGTGTACTGTATTGGGATAACGCTCTAATCAACAGGGCAACCTGGCCCTACTAAGTAACTAAACTTGCGGGGACCTACATGCTCTGCAACTGTTGGGGTCTGGCATCTCCTGTGAACCAGGTCGGTAGGCGATGGCTGCACCAGCAGAGGTAGAGTGGGTTCCTCTGCACCTGGCTGCCCTGAGGATCCCACTGCCATCAGGACGCATGCGCCACCTCTATAACAGAGGCTTCCGACCCTGGGAGGGCTTTAGGGGTCTGAAAACCCTTTCTGAGCCTGCCTACAAAACTCATGGGGACCCTGGCCAGGTGGTTCAGTCGGCTGGAGCATCCTCTGTATGCCAATAGGTTGCAGGTTCGATTCCCAGTCACGGCATATACAGTACCTAGGCTTTGGGTTTAATTCCCAATCCCAGGCAATGGATGGATGTTTCTCTCACATCGATGTTTCTCTCTCCCCCTCCTTTCTTCTCTTCCACTCTATCTAGAAAATCAATGGAAAAATATCTTCAGGTGAGGAGCAACAACAAAAGAGAAACCTGGTCCTAAGTTACAAGCATGATTTCATGACCCACTGGGCCTGCCACTGTACACATGGCTCCAGCAGGCTCTCAGCCCCTTCTCTACTTCCATGACCACACTTCAGTTCAACCCCCACAGCCCCCACTTATAGATCTTAACAAGTACCTAGTTGACCTCCTTGCTTCTAGTTTCTTCCTGTGTAACCCACCCTGCCAGAATCAGTCGTTTTGATCCAAAAATTCTGGTGGTGGCCTCCTGAGTTTCTTTACTTTGTCTCCTCCTCACCATTCCCCCACATTTTCTCTCTTCCTTACCCCTACCTTTCTATGATCACCAAGAATAGTACCTTCTCCCACAAGCCTTCCTCATTCATCGGTTCACTCACTCATTCACTAAATGTCTGCTGAGCATACACTGTGCTAGATTTGGGAAATAGGCCCGAGCAAGGAAGATAAATTAACACCTACAGTTGAGGTGTGGGTACCTTACATCTTACTTCAGAGTTCTTGCTACCGGTTCTTGGAGGTAGGAACATCTATGGGTCCCAACTGTGGCTTATTGAATTCTGACTGGAGGCTGTTAAAGCTTTATTGATCACCAGGGTCCCAGGCTCCTTCTGTTACATTGCTTTGCATCCTTATTATATAATATCCACCTCAAGATCTGAGATGGCTCTTGGTGCTCCAGCCATCATGTCTTTCTTCCAGCCAGCAGCTTCAATTTTCCCATGTGTACAATGGGGATAACACCTACCTTGGAAGATCATCAAAAGAGGAGAAAATCAGACCAAATTGTGCATTCTGGAGCTCCTGTAATTAGGCAGAAGCTCCCAGAGGTTCCTGGTCAGATTGGGTTTCCCCTATTGTGCAGTGCCTGCTCCCCAGAGCCCTACCCGGTGGGCCCTCCGAGGGACCTGATAACCTGTGGGGATTCAGCAGGCTCCTCTGCTCATCTCTCCAGCTCCTGGGGCAGTAATCACATGGGCATCATCCATGCTCAATCCCTCACCAGCCACTCAGGCCCCAAGGGCAGGGCCTGATTCTCCTCCTCCAGGGACCCTGCCACCCCAACATCCAGCCTGGTTCTCTGAAGGGGAAGGCCGGGGGGGGGGGGCTGCTGTTTGGTGCAAGGGCTGGTGCTAAGTAGCTGAAATCATGAACCACCAGAGGTTAAGGGCAAGTCTGGGTTCTGTGAACCTGGCAGGAGTCAGCACAGAGTCAGGCCCCAGAGAGGAGAGTTCCCCAGGATCAACCATGGAATTTGTGGGGCCCAGTGAAAAATGAAAACGTAGGCACTTTGTTCAAATATTAAGAATTTCAAGATAGTGACAGCAGAGCATTAAGCCAAGCACAGACCCTGGAGTTCCAGCCCAGAGAAGTGGTGGATAATTTGTGTCGCCTGGGGCCCCAGGCTGAGCATCCCTGGGGGCAAGTGGGGCCTGGCAGTGAGAAGCCATTTTTAGGGGGAGCTGACTGGGAATGGTGTCACTCTCCTTTGTAGGGTTTCTTCACAGTCCTATGATCCCCTGTCCCTGTGTCATGGTCCCATGGGAAGGGCTGGACACAATATGGATTCCCAGCCCAGACCACAACCCCAAGAGGCAGGCTTTCTGCGGCTGGGGCTCAGGGATTGGTGATTTTAGAACACGCTCTAGCATTGGTTCTTAAGGGATTCTGTAGTTTGGAGAACAACTGGTGGGCTGCTTCAATGGCTGGAGTATGGATTTACTCTGTAATATTTGAATGAATGAATTTACTCTGTAATATTTGAATGAATGAATTTACTCTACAAATGGCCTTGACCATCCTGTCCTAAGAATTGTTTCTTGCCATCTTTTGGCCTTGGATTGGCTTTGCTAAATGAAGCTTGGAGAACATGCTCCTTTCTCCAATGGTCCCCAGAGAGCTGGGAGGAAAGTGCTAGAGGCTGTTGCTTTCCAGCAGGCCAGGGCAGGGGGACAGGCCAGGAGGGAGGGCCTATCCTCCAGGACCACTGGGGAGTGGCTAGAGTGTGGGCTGTGACCCCCAATGGGAATGCTTAACGTGTTTACTGCAATGAAAAACGAGAACGGGCTTGGAAGGCTTATGTCTTTACTGTCATTTGTAGTCCTCCTCGTGGAACCCTGCAAAGAACAAGGCAGAGCCTAAGGCAGAACCCAGCTGGCACTGGGAAAGGAGAGGCAGGCCGTTACAGTTCACAAACCATGAGCTTCATGCCTTCCAGCAGAGGAGGTCTATATTTAAAGACATTCTTTCTGTTTGAGTTCGTCTAAGTCTTGAACTCCAGGACCAGACAAACATTGTGATCATCATGGACTTTAGGTTTCTAGAATCAGTGCGGATCTTTCTCACCACCCCCACCTCCACCCTGCACACTTGGCGAGGGCCGAGGTGGGCCCAGCGCTCCTGTTTGACGTGAATGAGAAAAAAATATTGGGGACCAAATATACTGCAATACACATTCATAAGAAACATTCTAATAACAATTGGAGCACAAAACTATTGGTATAAACATATTTCCAAAAAGAGAAACTATTGCATTGCATTAGATGGCGCTTCCTAGACTAGAGGTTTGTCTTTCTTCTTTGCAGTTGGCTTTTGGGACAGAACTCTCACACGGAGCTAATCAAGTGCAATGTATCGTGATGGACACAGACTGGGAGTTAAAAGTTCAAGGCTGTCCAAGTCCTTGGGATCTGTTTGTCCCCAGAGATTTCAGCTTCAAACAGTTCAAGATGAAACCTGCCCAGGGTCACCATTGCTCCCGGATCACCAATTCCACGGCAGGCACTCTTGATGATTCTGTGGAGCAGGTTGTAGGCATGGCTCTTTGTGTAGACTTGGCGGGATGGTGGCTCTCTGAATGAGCCACTGAAACACTGACTGCCTCGGCCCCCTTGGAACAGACGGATTCCAGACTCTTCATTTTGGCTTCATGTTGGCTATGACCTTGGACAGAACCACAGTCCTTCCTGTTGTTGGTAACACTTCTGGTATTAACCCTTAAAGACACAGTGGGCCTATTTCTGTGACTTGTTCTTTGAGCCACGTGGGGCCGTGGGCTGCCTGCTGTCTAGGGACCTTTGGTGTCTAGAGCTGGGGCCCCTGCAGGGTGGCTTCCCTGCCTCAGCACAGGACAGGAGGCTGAGGGTAGCCTGTCCACAAGAGGCCATGGGGCACAGTGTGGAGACAGTCCCTTCCCTTACAGGGGCACCAGGGCAAGGTCTCTGTGGACAAGGCCAGCTTGGGACTGCTCAACAGCTGCAAGACACCCTGCCTGAGTTTTAAAAATCATGGTGAAAGCTGGACCAAGCTGAATGGAGAAGTAGCCCAACACAGGTGCCAAGCTGCCTAGCATGGCCTTTCCAGCTCTCGTCGGGGTGACAGTCCAGCAGAAAGGAGAACTAAGACAGTCAGGAGGAAAAGATGATCTGGGTGGCGCCCAGGAGAGCCACTCAGGTACTCAGAACCAGGCGTGACCTTCGGCTGTGGTGAATAAGTTTTCCTCTCGGAGAAACAGCATATCCTTTCGGGGTGCCCATGCCCTGGGACCCTGTGAGTCACAGTCAAGGTCACTTCATATAAGAGGCACAACTGTGGTAGAGCTCGAGGAGGCCAGGTGGGCCTGGGGAAGGGCCTCAGTGCTACACACCCTACAGGGAGTGGTTTGGGTCACTGCGCTCCCGTTTTACCAGGGGCTCACCCAGGCTTCTGGCATCTGCATCAGCCTCACTGCTCCGGTCTTCACTGACGTCATCTGTGGGGTCAGGGTTGGGGACAAGGAATGGGTAGAGGGCGATGGGAGAGAGGGAGAGAGAAGCACACCCAGGCATGAACGATCTCAGCTATGGTCTGGGTTAACCTGGTCCTTCCTGGCCTTCTTAACTATGACCTCTCTTGACCAGTGCTCATTTGCCTAGGTCCCATTCCTGGCAGGTTTTCCCTTGGTGCTTGATCCTCCTGCCCCTGTAGGGGCAGAGAATCGTCCTGAGGTAGGGGCCTTTCTGCCCTGTTTCCTCTTCATCCCCCCTCTTGCCTCATTTCTGGCTGTGGCCTTGCTCCTGCTCCTTGGGGCCCAGGGATCAGGATTAAACATTGACCTGGAGTGCCACATGCAAGCAGGAGAGAGCAGGGCTGTTCCTCTGAGCCCCAGCTAGGGCCAGTCCTTCGAAGGCATCATTGGGACATCTACTGCTGCCCAGGTGTTACCTGCTGTCTGGATGCCAACTCCGGAAGCCCTCAATCTGCCCCAGGAGCTGCCCTGATTTCTACCAGGCCAATGGCAGGAGGAAACCTCATGGGAAAGCCATGGACACACCCACCTTTGTCCAGCAGTGTCAGTGACAGGGAGGCAAGATCATTGAACTGAAAGAGAGAAGACCAGAGTCAGGGCCCTCCCTAGAGCAGGTCCCAATGAATGTTAGCAGTGTCATCCACCCACAGTTAAAACAGGTTTTCACTTTGTAAATAAGGGGTTCTGACATAAGAAGTAGATATGATGCTGTGTGTCCCCTGTGACACTTTCTGGGCTCTGTCTGGGAACTTCTGGAGGGTTGAGGGGGTACTGACTGCTCAGGCCAGCAAGGATACAGGGGCTGTGGCCTCTGAATAATGAAAGTAAAGGAACAGCTGGCATTTATCAAGGGCTTATTATGTTCTAAAAACTGTATAAGTATCATCTCATTTCTTCCTCAGAACAACCCTGTCTGACCCAGAAATTCCACACTTGGGTAGATACCCAAAAGAACTGAAAACAGGTGTACAAACAAAAACTTGTACACATATGTTCACTGCAGCATGGTTCACAATAGCCAAAAGGTGGAAACAACCCAAATATCCATCCATAGATGAATGGACAAACAAAATACTGAATATTCACACACTGGAATATTACTCAGTTGTGAAAAGGAGTGAAGCACTGACATTCACAACAATGTGGATGAACCTTGAAAACATGATGCTCAGTGAGAGAAGCTAGACACCAAAATCCGCATAGTGTGTGATTCCATTTATGTGAAATGTCCAGAATAGGCAATCCAGAGACAGTAAGATTCATGGTTGTCAGGGGCTGGGGAAGGAGGATGGGGTGTGATTGCTGGGGAATAGGTTTCTCTTTGGGGTAATGGACTGTTTTGGAATTAGATAGAGGTGACAGTTGCACAATACTGTAAGTGTATTAAATGCCACTGAATTGTTCATTTCAAAATGATTAAAAATAGTAAATTTTACATTATATGTATTTTACCACAATAAAAACCCCAGAGGGTCTGGTGTTTGAGGCTTCATTCAGAGGCAGGAAAACTTGCCCAGAGTGAGAGTAAATAGGTGGCAGAGGAGCCAGCATCTGAACCCAGGTCTGCAGGCTCTGGCATTAGAGCTCTTTCCTGCCCACTGTCCACTGTGTCATGCTCAGCAGCCTCCCTCACCCCCGCAGGCTGCTCTGCGGCCCTCACCTCTCCCATCACGGCAATGGGTGTCTCCCCGGTTGCCTTGGCGACGCGGTGCTCCACTAGGTAGAACATGTACTCATCATACAGCAGGCGGATCAGGTGGAAAGAGCCGAAGCTGGCGGCACTGCGCAGGGTGAGGTCTCGGATCACCATGGAGCTGGGGGACGGGCAGACAGAGGCTAGGCACCTTCCAGGAGCATAGAGCCCCACCAGCAGGAGAACCAGGCTTTTCTTCAGCTCTGAGGTCGTCTAGAAACCCTTTTCTATGAGTTGCTTGCCAACTGCCAGGCCACCCCCATGTCCCAGTGTGACTGAGATGGTGACAGGCAGATGGGAGGTGGGCAGGAGCAGTAACTCTAAGAGGCTACTGAGAATATACAGGTGACAGACAGTCTCTGACATAAACTTTAGAGACCATCTGTAGTAAGGAGTCTTTTAAGTGCCATTACTGACTCCCCAACAGCAGGCCACTTTTCCTGGCCTCCCTTGTATCCTTCCCTCCTCCCGCCACTCCTCAGTTTGTGGTTTAGGCACCGAAGAAGACAGAATTTCAGGGTGCTTTTGCCTGTAGGGTTGGCAAACTAAAGCCCAATCCAGACCAAACCTAGCTTACCAGTCTGTTTTTGTACAACCTGCGAGTTCAGAATGGTTTTTACATTTTAAATGGTTGGGGAAAAAGTCAAAATAATTATTCTGCAAACCATGAAAAGTACCTGAAATTCACATTTCAGTGTTTATAAAGTTTTATTGGCACATGGCCATGCCTATTTATTTACTTGTTGTGTGCTATGTGCCAATAAAACTATTATTCAAAAATATTTACTATTGGATTCTTTTTAAAAAGCAAAAAAGCAACCCTTGATCTACAGTAAGTATATAACATGTCACCCAACCAGAAACCTGGCCTATAAACACATCTGCCATGTAGCCACAAAACTCAAATGCCCATCTCAGAACTCAGCTACACTCAGTTAAGTTTGATTGCTATAGTAGCAAAAAAAGAAATAGGCAGGGGCAGGACAGAAAAGGAGACACAATGAAAATATTAAATAAGGGGTTACACTGGGGTGGTTCTGATGTCTTGAACCTAGGAAGCAAACCCAAATCTAAGCCAAACCAGTGTCTGAGAGTGAAACTTACAAACAAGGAGTCACAACTAGTTCCCGAATAAGGCACTGCCAGAACTGTAGCCAATCAAAGCATTTCCCTGCTTTGCTTCCTCATTTTCTCCATAAACACCTTGCCCTTGTTCCTGTTGGTGGAGGCTTCTGAGCACTTTGAGTTTGACGCTGCCCAATTTGAGTCAATGTTTGCTTGAAGAAATGTTTGGAAATTTTAATGTGCCCAGTTTAACTTTTAAAAGGCTAAAAATATCTATTCCTGTATATTCACAATGGGGCTGCAGGTGAGTCAGTAAAAACAACTGATAACACATCAGTGTATTTAATCTTTTTGCATCTTCCTGGGCCAGCGTGTAGATGCACTCTGAAAGCAGTTTGGTTCAGCTACAGGCAAGGTTCAGCCACAAAGAGAGCTGGCTTCAGCTGGTTGTGGCTTTGAGATGGCGTAGGAAGGGTAACCAAGGAAGGAATCCAGGTGGTGACTGTCATGTCCAAACTGACACTTTAGAAAGCAAAGGTCACTTGAAGCACATTTATGAATGCAAAGGCACAGGATAAAAGGGATCAGGGTATGTGATGTGTTTTCTCTTTAGAAGCTTTTTTGGTTCTTATAGCCAACCCCTCCTAAAGTAAATGAATGAACATGGACTGCAGGTCCCTGGGAAGGAAGCTCTCACCCCCTGCCCACCTGTGGCTGCCTCTGCCTCCATTCCCCACCCCAGGAAGCTGTGCTTGGTTGGACATTGTGCTAGCTCCCTTCTCTTGAATGCTGTTTGTCAGCCACAAGGTAACAGAGGTCTGGACACTCATGACAGCTCAGGCTGTTCAAACACTGTCTGCTTGCTGCTGCTCTGTTAGGGGACCCCAGGTCCACATGCTTCATGTCTCACTCCCTATCCAGCTCAGTTCCAGCCTCCCTTTCCCTGAAAACTCCCCCCTCCTCCTGTGGATTAAGTGCTGGTACTTTGCACCCCCAAGCCCCACCCCCAGCCTTGGCATCTGGTGCACTGCTTCAGCTCAAGCAGCTTTTCTGAACCATCTCCATGGTCACTTGGTATGTTTTGGGTTCTCCGCATGGGATAGTAGCTTCTTGCATTAAGAACATCAGCGAAACTCCACCAGGAGCTCAACCTGAGCTTGGCAATCCCCCACGAAGCCTGTGCCCATCCATTTACTGTTTTCTGATGGATGCTATAGAAATAAGTCCCTTAAACATAATAAAATGAAATCAGGTAGTGCTTTGTCCTTATGGAGAAAAACACCCCATGTCACAGAGGCAATGGCCCCCTTCAACTTTAGCTGCATTCTTGTTTCCACGTTTCTATGTCTTAGACTCATTCTGCTTCTCGACTCCTTAAATCATGACTTTTCCTGAGACAGGCCACCACAGGAATTCTGTCTCTGTACTCAGACTCAGAGGCGCACCCCCTTCTTCGTCCATCATCTCAATGCTGCTTTACAGTACTTTTTGGCTCAGCCAGTGTTTCCTTATGTGGCAATGGGGTGTTAAGCTCACAGCTGAGCCACACGGTATAGTAGGCTCACATTTCCTTCCTTGTTCATTCACTCAACCCATATTTAGGTGCTGGGGATAGTGCAGTGGACAAAAGCAATGTCCCTGCTATTGGGGAGCATGCTCGATCACAAAGGAGACAGACAACAGACAGGTAAACAGAAAACAAGTGAAAGGTGATTATAAGAAAAACCAAGGCATAGGGGATAGAGGATGAGCAGGTGTGTGCTACTATTTAGGGAGGTCTGGGAGGGCCTCTCTGGTGATGATTCAGTCACATGGCTATCTGGGGGAAAAGTGTTCCAGGCAGAGGAAAGGCAGTGCAAAGGCCCTGAGGTGGCAAGGCTAGAGTAGAGCATGAGGAGAGAGTTGGGAACAGGGAGTTACTGGGCTGAGAGACCATTCATGGTTTTTTTTGTTTTTTTTTTGTAAGTAAATATTTTTAGCTTTGTGGCCACACAGTCACAACTCTGCTAAGGATCCATAAAGAGGTGAGTATGGCCGAGTGCTAATAACAATTTATTTGCACAACCAAGTGAAGGGTGATCTAATCCGCCAGCTACAGCTCCCCAGGCGGCTGGATCACGCATGGCCTGAGAGCCTTGGAGTGGCTATCATTAACTGCTCCATTTTCCACATATTTGTCACTAACTGAGATCAGGACTTCCCCGCAGAGCCGCAGGGCTGCTGTCACCAAACACGGACCACGTTTTCTTGGCAATGTCCCTCCTGAAGCCCCGGTTCCCCTGCTCCCGTCTATAAAGGTTAGAACTGCATCTTGGGAACTATTTTCCTTCAGAATTCTGAATATACTGCTTTCTTGCCAACAAGATTCTGAATTCTGGTTCAGTCAGAAGACACTGTTCTGGTTCCTAGGCCTTCAGCGTGGCCTGCTGCTTTTTCTTGGAAGCTTTTACAATTGTCTCCTAACCTTGCCGCCCTGAAATTCCACAGGGGTGCTCCCTGGGGAGACTGTCATTCATTATGAGGGAAATGTGGTGGCTTCTTCAATTTGGAGATTGGTGCCCTTCGGTTCTGAGACAGCTTTTGGATTATGGTTTTATTATTTTATTTCCCTCCATTTTCTCTCTCACTTAAAAAATCCTATCAATTGGATATTGAACTTTCTGGATTAAATCCTTTCGTTTTTCTTTCATGATTTTTCTCATTTTTTTCCTTCTTTCTCCATATTTTTTTCTGTCTCATGTTTACTTTCGGTGATAGTTTATGTGTCACCTTGGCTAGGCTCTAGTACCCAGTTATTCAATCAAACAGTGGCCTAGGTATTGCTGTGAAAGCATTTTGTGGCCGTGGTTCACATCTATCACCTCTCGACATTAAGTGAAGATTACCTGTGATAACATGGGCCTCATCTAATCAGTTGAAAGAGCAGAACTGAGGTTTCCCTGAGGAAGAAATCCCACCCATGGCCTGCAGTGTCAGCTCCTGCCTGAGTGTCTCCAGCCTGCTGGCCTGCCCTACAGATGTCAGACTTTCTGGCCCCAAGATGCATGAGCCAGTTCCTTTAGATAAATCTCTTTATATAGTAATACATACTAATTATTATTTCTATATTTATATATAATTATGATTAACTATAATATGTTTACATATATAACTAAAAAACATAAATACTCCCTGACACAGCTGGTCTTTGCCCAGTACCATTCTGTAGGGACATATGGACCATGGGGTAACTGACACCTGTTTCCGCCTCCTGCTTGCACTTGGCAGTGAGTAAATAAAAGCTTGATGGTTGCTCCCTGTCTGGCTCACTGACCTAACCGACCACCTCACACCATCTCCCAAACTCTTGCTCTCACTCATCTCCTAAATGCCACCATCTGCTCTCCTGTTCTCCTTGTCCTGGGGGTTTATGCCTTTTTCCCCCTTAATTGATTTTAGAGAGAGAGGAGGGAGAGGAGAGAGAGATAGAAACATTGATGAGAGAGAACATCGACTAGCCGCCTCCTGCATGCCCCTCACTGGGGATCGGGCCCACAACCTGGGCATGTGCCCTGACCAGGAATCAAACCAGCCACCTCTTGGTACATGGGTCGATGCTTAACCACTTCCTTTACTGCCACTTTGTGGGCATTTGCCAGGGAGCAGAAATAAACATATGGGCTCAAGCTGCTGTGTTTCTCCAGAAGGCCTGATGATGATTTCTGTCTACGGAAGCCTGCCACACACTTTTAGGCCACAGGGGGCCTCTGGACCCGGCCCTGAGAGCCAGCACACCAGGATGAAGCCCACAGGTTGGGCCCTGGTTTGGGTATTTGGCCACTGAAGGCGGGACAACCTCTGGAGCCCCCAAATCCCACCACCCTCCTGGGGTTCTTGGGGAGATTAAGGAGAACTTACCTATAAAAGGACCATTTCAGTAGGAACTGCCGGGCAGCCTTAGGGAAGCTGGGGCTGCCCGCATGCTGCTTCAGGACCTGGGTGACCACATTGTCGAGCCAGCTGGCCCACTGGTCCAGGGAGCTCTGCTGCTGCAGGGTCAGTTTGAAGTCCTGCTCCAGCCGCTGCACCACGCTCTCCTTGCACTGGCACACCCACGAGGCTTGTTCCTGCAGGTGTAAGGGCAGTGGATCAGAACCGAGGGTCAGTGACAGCCCCCCCCCAATCCAACGCCATGGGTGAGAGCATAGGGACCTGACTGCAGCCATCTCCTGAGCAGCAGCTCCAAGCTTGACCTTATGCCGAGTGTGCACACACCCTCCCCCTTGGCCTTTTCCAACTGCAGTTAAGCACTATTAGTGCCCATTTCACAGGGGCAGAGGTGGATGGACCAGAAGGGCACCCGTCCCAGCATATAAGGACTTAAATCCAGGCTTCTTGGACACATAGCTCCGATTATACCATGTCTTTGTGCTGTTTTATTTTTGAGTGGTCACTCTGGTGAATGCGTGTATGTTTAGTGGATAAACCCAGGGCCTGAACTAGATGTAAATACAGTACAGTAGCAGGTTCCATTTGCTGATAGCCTGAACTTTTCTAAACCCACAGAAAGAACCTTAACATGGAAATAGGAAGGCACATTTTAAAAGAAAATAAACCAAGGTGAGGTCACAACTCCTGGATGCTGAGAGATCTTGGAGTGGAGACCTGGGGCCCTCAGTGGGCCGGCCCTGAATCTGGTACATGCAACAGAAATGTGCTCTGGGTTTGCTGTGGGCTGCAGTAAGAGGGTTTGTGCATTTTTCTAGAGGGTGTAAGGTTAGGCCAGAGGGGTGGGGGCCACATACACATTGCCCCTGCTCTGAAGGCTGGTCTTGGAGCCCCATCCCAGACTGTAGGGAACTATGTTGGGGAAAGTTACCTGCACGTTGGCAAAGTCTACACGATTGAGGTCGCTGAGCATCTGGTTGATCTGGGAAGTGTTCTGAAGCACGGCCCGGGCTGCCTGTGCCAGGTGATTGAGGGATGTGTATCTCCGCAGGGTCTGGGCAAAGGCGCTGACCACGCTAACCTGTGACCGAAGACAGCACGGGAAGGTGAACTGTATGCACGTACATAGGGCAACCCTATTCTCTCTTCTTGGAGGGTGCAGGTTCAGGGGTAGTTCAGGGGCAGAGAAGAGGGATGCACCCTTGTTACAGTCTCAAGAACCCAAAGAGTGAGAATCAGTGAAGCGCAAAGACGTCACCAATGCATCACGTGGCATCTATAGCAGACGACGTGGCATTAGTGGGTTAGAACTCGATCCCATCAGCTCTCTAGAGGGGCTGGTGAGAATACAGGTTCCTGGGTCTGCTGGGTCAGACTCAGTAGGGGTGGCTGGGGAATCTGCAATTTACTAGGCAGTTCTTTTGCTCCTTGAAGTTGCAGTATCACTGGCCTAACAGCAATTCCAGACTGTCGGCAGGCAGACCAGACACCCAGAATCTGGGCTCCTCTGTACGTGACAGCTCTTTAAGAAATGTGTGTGAGGACACTAGCAAAAGGTTATTCTTTTTTTCACATGTGGGTTAAATCTCCACATTTAAATTGTGATTTGTGGCCAAGACTAATGTAATAATAAGGGTAAGCAGGGAGAGTAAATTCCCATCTTTTCATGAGCACAGAAACATTCAATCTGTTGTGAGTTGACCCAAACATGTCCCATCAAATGGCATCTTCCGTCGTGCCCCTCCCTGCCAGGACTTCAGGAAGTCCACAGCATCTCAGGACTTCCTGAAGGGACCACTGATCCTCAGGACACACAGGAGTGTCTGGCTCTCTCAGTGGCCCAGCTGTGAAGTTTCCTAGGAGCAGAGGGAGAGGAGCCCCCTCCTCTGAGCCCCTCCCGGTCCCCTCCCTTCATAGCACAGCAGAACCCAAGGGGTCCTCAGGTCTGTAGCTTCTGCTTCTGGTCACCAGTGTGGTCTGAAGGCCCAGACCCCAACCCCAGGAGTTACCTTAGTCTGGATAACCTGCTGGGGGAAATCGCTCATGGCATTTGTCAACCAGCCTTCCAAGCTCTTGGCAAAGTTACGAATGGCCTGTGTCAAGGTGCCTGGGAGATAGAACCACGATATTAACAGTGAAAAAGGTAGAGTCTTAGTCCATTAGGATCAACCATGAGTGTAAGACATGCAAATGTAATGAAAGTTATCACCTGACAAGCAACACAGAGGAAAAGAGAACAATGGAGTAGCACAGGCATGGGGGGAAACTTTGGACACGTAGTGAGGGGAGCCTGGAGTAAGAGTTAGGGCCCATCCAGACTGTTCATCTCTGTTCACCTGTTTATACAAGGGGTTTTCACTAGGTTTATACTAGGGTGATCCTGCCCCTTGGGGACACTGGGTGATGTCTGGGTACATATGTGGTTCTCACAACTGAGGATGCTCCTGGCATCGAGTGGGTGGGGGCCAAGGATGCTGCTCAACACTCCACAGTGCCCAGGTAGCCCCTCAGAGAGTGACATGGTCCCAGGGTCAGCAGTGCTGAGACTGAGACCCTGCTACACATGCACATAAACATATTCTACCAGTTTCTAACTTTATTTTGAGGTGGCTTATAATAAGAAATAATAAGACTCTTTTAAAAAAGAAAAAAATCCTCCAACTGTAAATCTACCCCAAACTCAAACCTTAATATAGACACTCAAATATAAAATCCCCCAAACAGAAAAGTAAAGCCCCCAAATTCAAACCTTAATATAGATTTACTGCACACTACACTTAACAGCTTCCAGGCAGGCAAGGCCACAGGATAAATGCATCGTTATGCTGTTTCCCATTTTCTGGCACAAAAGCAGCAGACCAACTCATTAAGAAAGACGGGATTTCCGAGCACTGACACAAATATGCATAGGTCACCTCCCAGGTGTGACCTGTGTGCCTGCTGGAGGCACTGATTAAGAGCAAGGCCTCGTGCTCAGCTTATTGGCCCTTCATCTGGGATGGTGCTTCCACCTGCAAAATGCTGGGAACCCACAGGAGAGCCTGGAAGTCAGGGGTAGGTACAATGGGTGTTCCCTGGTGGTGGCACTGTCACCACCACCAGAGGCCTGACAGGCAGGTCCCAGTAGCTCTGAGAAAGTTAATGTCAGCCCTAGTGGGTTGAGCCATCAAGGCCCGTGATTTTTTTTAATCCTCATCCAAGGATATTTTTCTATTTATCTTCAGATAGAATGGGAGGGAGGGAGGGAGGGAGAGGAAGAGAGAGAAAAACATCGATGTGAGAGGGACACATCTACTGGTTGCCTCTTGCACAACCCTGACCAGGGCCAGGGATGAACTGCAACCGAGGTACGTGCCCTTGGCCGGAATTGTACCTGCGACTCTGGTCTACGGGCCGACACTCTAATTGCTGAGCCAAACCAGCCAGGGACCATGATTTCTTTTTTCTAATCCTCACCTGAGGATATTTTTCCATTGACTTTTATTTTATTTTTTGTTTTCTTCTTTTTTTTAATCCTCACCCGAGGATAGTCTTACATTTATCTTCAGAGAGAGTGGGAGGGAGAGAGAGAGAAACATCGATGCAAGAGAGACATATCGACTGGCTACCACCTGCACGACTACAACCGGGGCTGGGGACGAACCACAACCGAGGCACGTCCCTTGTCTGGAATCGACCCTGGGACTCTTTGGTCTACAGGCCAACGCTCTAACTGCTGAGCCGAACCGGCCAGGGCTCCATTAACTTACATAGAGTAGGTGGAAGGAAGGGAGAAAGAGAGAGAAAAACATTGATGTGAGAGAGACACATCGATTGGTTGCCTCCCGCATGACACCTATGGGGGCCAGGGATCAAACCTGCAACCCAGGTATATGCCTTTGACCGAGAATCAAACCCAAGACTCGGTCTGCTGGCCAACACTAACTGTTGAGCCAAACTGGCCAGCGCTGATTTCATTTTTTTCTCCTCTTCTCAATTAAAGATGCTGGAATCTGGAGAAAGTTCTATAGAGTCCACGCTTTGGTGGAGTCACATGGTTGGGAGGAAGCTGAGCTCTGCCTCTGATCAATCTGGGGAAAATGGGTTAGAATTGGATTCAGCCCACCCTCAGGGCTTTCAGCAAATGCAGCAGCTGGAGGGGTATGGATGTCCTGAGACTTTGACCCTACCCTCTAGAATCTCCTCTGGGGACATCAGAGACCCAGAAGCCACAGCACTGGGCAGCAGCATGAAGCCCTAAGCCCAGCCCAGGCCCAGGGTGGGGAAGTGACCTGAGGGTGGGCAGCCAGAGCCAGAACCACAATGGACCTTCCTTCTTTCTCTCCCTGGGTAGTGACAAGGAAAACACGCAGGCAAGGATGAGTATCTTCCCGGATGACTAAGCTGCTGCTCTCACTGAATTCTCAATGTCCCAAGTCTGAGCTGGACCTGACAAGGTGGCTGCAGGACTGCAGGGACAGGAAGGAGAGGAGGCAGGTGAGGCAAGCTGCTTACTGGGTACTGGCCGAAGCACGTCAGGGATGAGAACCTCCACCAGGGCCTGGTAGAGGATGTGGTCACAGTTCCTCATCCACTTAAGGATGGGGTCGCATTTACACAGAGACACCAGCTTGTCCTTCGGGAGGATGGTGGCTTCAGGGATCTCATCACTGTGGAGGAATGAGGGAGACGAGGTAAGCTTTGGCCTGGAGACCACCCCAGCTCATATTCCCCACATGGGTCATGCTGTCCAGCCCCCACCCCCACCTATGGCTGAGGTAATGACATTTCCCACTGTGGCTACAGCTGAGGTGACTTCTCTTTGGGATGGCCTATGGTCACCAATAAAATCACTCACTTGAAACAAGTGAACGGGCAATGTGAATTGCAAACCAACTCAGAAGTACAAAAACAACATGTAATTATGGGAGGAGCGTCAATTCCTGGAAAGTTGACTCATTTGTCTGCGGCAGTGTGGGTGTTACTGGCCTATCTGGGGGGAATGACCACATGTACCTGGCTGGTAGAGAGGCGGGGCCATCACTGGAAGAGGCTTTAGAATTCCAGAAGGAAAGCCACAGCTTCTCAATGTAGTGGAACTGAAGGTTCATCACAACATCTAAAGTTGCCTGGAAGTAAAGGTGGCCATTTAGATTAATGAATATGCATGTTCAAAGGGTATGGATCACCCTGGCCGGCGTGGCTCAGTGCTTAGAGGGTCTGATTGAGGACTGAAGGGTTACGGGTTCAATTCCCAGTTAAGGGCACATGCCTGGATTACAGGTTCGGTCAGGGTGTGTGTGGGAGCCAACCAGTTGAGGTGTCTCTCACACTGATGTTTCTCCCCCACCCCTCCCACTCTCTAAAAGTCAATGGGCTGAGGATTAACAACAACAAAAAGGGTGTGGATTGCATGCCATCAGGATATTCTAAGCAATGAGCTATGATTCGAGTTGTGGAAGAAAGGGGTCCTTTGAAATCCATACAGAGACCACAAAGGAGATGAAAATGGACAGAATGGTGCTGTCCAGGGGCAGAGATTCTATCTGCTCCTTGGCTAGAGGGAGCAGGGGCCGCTCCAGGGTCCTCCATGTTGTCAGGGACACCTGGGATGCCTGAGTGTTTGGTCTTGGGGAGGCACACTGGCTCAGCACCCTGGGGACACTGAGGCTCCCATTAAATCCCCATAGCCCAGGTGTGGGCTCTTCCCAGGGGCCACCTGGAGGAGGCGGTCACCTCACAGTGCCGCCGATAGACCAGCTGCAGGGCCTTGACGTCCTGAAGTGTGATGCTCTCTTGCAGCAAGACACTGCCCAGGTCAGGCGCTGGGAACTCCGGGAAGACGTGGGAGACATCTGGGGGGATGGAAACAGGGTCATGAGCAGACCTGCAGGTGGTCCACATGCAGAGGCCGGGCTAGGAGGCCCTTGTGCTGGGGGTCACTGTCCGGAAGTGCCGATGAGTACATGACAACCTTGGGCATCATCCTGGCTCCCTTGAGCATCATCCTGGCTCCCTTGAGCATCATCCTGGCTCCCTTGAATAGTCACACAGCTTTTGTAAGCTTCGGTTTTCTCAGGTACAGAATGGGGACAGCGTGGTCACCTCCCAGCAACATGAAATATGCTGAGTGAGACAAAGCATTAACCAGGGCCCTGGACACAGTAAGTGCTCTCATCACCCGAGCATGGAGGCCAGGCAGAGCAGTGCATCTGGGGACAAGGCTGGCCCTGTGGTGACCTCCCAGGCCTGACAACTTCTCTAGAAGCCCCAACACAGGAGGGTTCTTTCAGGCTCAAGAAATACACTAAAAATACACCCAGGCCACTGATGTCTCAGTATGTGTATGCTTATGACACTGATCCCAGTGACCTTTCCTGGGTATGTCCAGGTGTCAGGCTCTTAGTTAGGACGCAATTCCAAGGGAGCAGTGGAGCCACCTGGGTGGGAAACTGTCTCTCCCACGGTTCCCAGAGAAGAGGGCAAGGCAGTCCTTTGTGAGAGCTCTGGGAGGGGAGAAACTTAGTTTTTTAGGGGGTCCTGAGCAGCCAGGTAAGCAAGGAAGAAAAGCCAGGAGGGCAGCCAAATCCTGCTGCTGCCCTGAGCTGACAGGTTTTATTCTTTTTAAAAAATAATTTCTCTTTATTGATTTTAGAGAGAGAAGAAGGGAGAGGGAGAGAGGCAGAGACAACGATGAGAGAGAACATCGACTGGCCGCCTCCTGCATGCCCCCTACTGGTCACCAGGCCCACAACCTGGGCATATGCCTTGACCAAGAATCGAACTGGTGACCTCTTGGTGCACGGGTCGATGCTCAACCACCGAACCACACTGGCCGGGCAGTGAGCTGACAGGTTTTAAAATAGGACATTCAGCCCTAGGCAGTGTGGCTCAGTTAGCTGGAGTGTCGTCCCATACACTGAAAGGTCTCTAATTCGATTCCTTAACAGGGCACATACCCAGGTTGCGGGTTTGATCCCCAGTGGGTACATGTGGGAGGCAATCAATTGATGTTTCTCTCTCACATGGATGTTTCCCTCCCTCTCCTTTCCTCTCTCTCTAAAATCAGTAAATAAACAAACATATCATCAGGTAAGGATTAATAAATAAATTAATTAACTAAATTAAATAAAATAGGACATCTGGTCTTCTCTCTGATGGGCATTTCATTTTATTTACTTATTTTTTGATGGTTACTTTAGACATTAATTTGGGGAACATATACTGATTGTTCTAAAATCCCAGGGATGCCACAAAGAAGGTTTATCTAAAACTTTCTATGTAACAGAAAAGGTATCAGGCCCTGGCCAGGTAGCTCAGTTGGTTACAGAATTGTCCCGATATGCCAAGGTTGGGAGTTCAATCCCTGATCAGGGCACATACAAGAATTAACCAATGAATGTATAAATAAACGAAACAACAAATTAATGTCTCCCTCTCAAAAAAAAAAAAGAAAAGAAAAGGTGTCACATAAGAAAACTCAGTAGCACTGAGGAGATGGGAGCTTTCACAGCAGGCCCTGCCCCCAGGTGGGGGCGGCACCGCTCACCTATGAACTGCTGGTGGTGCTGGCTTTGGGCGGCCATGGCCTGCTCCGGCGTGCTGTGTAGGCTGCTGTGCGAGCCATTGTCCCCAAGGCTGTCTGACTTCTGGACTGGTCGGTACCTGGGTAGAAGACACATGTGCCACCATGAGGCCCCAGCAGCACTGCTTAGAAGGGGCCTGAGGAACAAAGGGCTAAACAGGATGCAGTTTGATGTGTGTGTGTGTGTGTGTGTGTGTGTGTGTGTATAATTTTGAAATAATTGTGGTCAAATACACGTAACAAAATGTACCACCTTAATCATTTTTAAGTGTATAGAATGACATTAAGTACATTCACATTGTTGTATAATCACCACCACCATCCATCTCCAGAACTTTCTATCTTCCCAAACTAAAACTATATCCCCATTAAACAGTAACTCCCCCTTCCCCCTCCCCAGCCTCTGGCTCTCATCACCTACTTTCTGTTTCTGTGGATCTGACTCTGCTGGGGACCTCCTATGACCGGACCTCCTACTATATTTGTCCTTTTGTGTCTGGCTTCTCTCACTGAGCATAATGTCCTCCAGGTTCATCACCATTGTTATCTATGTCAGAGTGTCCTTCCTATTTATGGCTGAATCCTATTTCATTGAACATATGTGTATATTATATTTTAATTTTCCATTCATCTACTGTTGGGATACTTGGGTTGCTTATATATATGTGTGTATATATACTGTACACACACATATAGTATTCTAATACTTCTCTCTTAAAAGACAAGTGAACTTCTTCACATAGAATCTCAGAAATCTTACTGTGTGGTCTTGAAAAAAATTCTGAGACTTTCCTTTTGCCCTGAGTCAGAAAGCAGCAATAGCCTGTGCGGGCAGCAAACTGAGACACATCAACAGAGAATGACTTCCCAGGTGACTGTCCCTCTGAGCCCAGAGGAATGCTTTGAGGTGGTGTGTGTGGCAGGAAGGGTGGGAGTGAGAGGTCCCAGCCAGAACTAGGAGTGCCTTTGTGGAAAGTGGGGCCAGGTTCACTGTGAAGGTGCAACTCAGATGTTTGTGGACCACCTTACTTGGAGCAGTTCCAAGTGTCACCATGAAATGTGTAGCTGTTCCTAAAATAACATGCTGCTTTGGTGTATAGATTCACAGGTGTTTGCAGGACTGAAAACAATCAACAGGAAGCTTTTAAGTCCATGTCTGTGGACAACCAGGGTCAGGATAGACTGTTGGTTCTGTTCTGATGTGTTGGCTCCTGGAGACTCCTGTGACCTCCAACTCCTGTGATCGACCATGTGGTTGAGAGTTACTGGGACACTTTAGAGCAGATGAAATGAGATTTTTAGCCACACAGACTGGCAGAGGAATGAAGGTGCCATGTGGAGGTGGAGGGGGTATAGTACCCATTCTGGAGCAGTCTGGACTCTGGAAGGCTGCCAGGGAGGTGACATTCGAGTGGGAACCTGAACCAAGGCAAACTACAGCTGTTGAGGGCCAATTCTGCCACTTGTGTAAATTCACTTTTCAGTGTTCATAAATAAAGTTTTATTGGCACATAGCCATGCCCACTCATTTACAAATCATCTGTGGCGGCTCTCATCCACAATAGCAGGTTGATAGTCACAACCTACAAAGCTCATGGTATTTATTTGTTCTCTGGCCCTTTAGAGAAAAGTTTGCTGACCTGTGCCTTACAAGATGAGCAGGTTTGTGATGGGTAAAGAGAACATTACAGAAAATGACCAGGCCTTTTTAGCCATCAGATCAAAATGTCAGGAAGATGCCTGGCCGGTATGGCTCCGGGGTTGAGCGTCGACCCATGCACCAATACGTTGCCAGTTCAATTCCTGGTCAGGGCACATGCCCAGGTTGCGGGCCAAATCCCCACTGGGGGGCATGCAGGAAGTGGACAATCAGGGTTCTCTCTCGTTGATGTTTCTATCTCTCTTTCTCTCTCTCCCTTCTTCTCTCTCTAAAAAATATTAACAACAAAATGTCAGGAAGAAAGCAGCAACTTAAGTCTAGAGGCTTGTTTCTCCTGGCTTCTTGGGTTATTTGCAGTGTTCTCTTTTTTTGTTTTTGGTAGTTGAAAAATTAAAGATCTGTGATTCCAACTTTATGACATTATGAAAAAGGAAAAACTATAAAGACGGTAAAAAGATCAGGGGTTGCCAGGGATAAATAAGTGGGGTACAGAGACTTTTTAGGGCAGTGACTCTGTGTGATACTGTAATGCTGGATACATGTCATTATACATTTGTCCAAACCCATGGAATGTATACCACCAGGATGAACCCTGATGTAAACTATGAACTTGGGGTGATCACGATGTGTCAGTGTAGTCATCGATTGGAACAAATGCACCACTCTGGTGGGGGATGTGGATAGTGGGGAGGCTATGCATGGAGGGGAAGGGCATATATGTACCTTTCACTCAATTTTGCTTTGATTTAAAACCGCTCTAAAAAATGTCTATTCTTTTTAAAAAAAGAGAATGCTCTAGAACTCCTGTTAGCTGGCGAGGCTGCATCCTCAGCCCCTTCCTTTCACATCAGTGGAGGTGAATGTCTTGGCTCTCCCAGGACACTGGAGACTGAGGTTAATGTGAGTTTGTTTTCTCCACCATAGAATGGGAGTCCTCTCATACAAATGTATTTAATGTTTGAGAAACACCCTCCCCGTGTTCTCCCTAGAAAAACCCAGGTCCTGTCCCCTTCTGCAGGCCAGCCTTAGCTCCGGTAACTCACCTCGGTTTCTGATGCACAGGCTGCTGCCGCATGGCCATGTACTGGGTGTCCTCCTGCAGCCGGTTCAGGGGCGAGTCTGGCTTTAGACGGATCCCATAGTAATGATACTTGGAGTTGCCCCTAGAAACCAAACATCCTGGGTCAGCTCTCACTGCAGATGTCTTAAAGGACAGGAGGGGCTGTTTTGGCACCTACACTTTGGGCCCTCTGGTTCAGTGTTTCCTGGACCATGGGGGAAATGCTCATGGGCTGTTCTGTGGCCAGAGAGGTTTAGAAAATTCTGTACACTACCTTCCCCTCTGGGAGGTTCCCCTCTTGCATTTTAGTATGACAAAGGCTCTAAGAAGTCCTGCAGCCAGAAAACCAGTTTTATGGCTATGTTCTGTAAAGACAGTCTCTGTCAAAGATCAAAGATGGCAGAGGACAGAAAAGACTTACCCCTTCTCTTGGCCAGGATGCCTGCTTCTGAGAGCGTACAAATGAACCCTGCCACCCACTTCTGTACGATTTCACTGAGAGCAGGCACTGGGCCTGTCACAGATCACGGCCACGTGAGCTCTATGCCACTCACTTCAAGTAGAGTGTGCCCACTTTTTTTTAGTGAGGGGGTATTTGCATTATTGTCTGGTTAAGTTTATGAGACATGAGGTTCCCTGGCAGCTGTAGGCCAAGGGCAAGCCATGGTGGGTTGGTCCAGGTATAGCAAAAAGCACCAAGAAACAGTAAATCCACCCTATTAGATAATCCAGAGGCAGCTTTTTAAACACCTGTTATTATGGACAATTTCAAATGAACAGAAAGAGCTGAAGCAAACCCTCATGCCCTATTACTCAGAGAGAACTGAACCACAGCCCACACCCCAGCCCAGCCAATGCTGCCACCAATTCAAGGCAGCTCCAAGTTCACCCAGAGGCATGTCAGTCAGGATGTGTGGGCAGGAGGAGGAAGCCCCATGTTCTCCAAAACCTTGATTTCTGTGTAAAGAAAGAGAATGGATGGGTGGGCATGCAGGCTGTCAGACATACCCCTCTACCCACCTAGTGCCCAGCCGCCGTGTCCTCAGGCCCATAAACACGGAGCGAATCAGTTTCCCAAAAGAGGCAGCGTTCACAGGGTCCAACTTGTGCTCCTGGCAGTGCCGAAGGTAATGGTTATAAAGAGAACTTCGGGGGAGACTGACGCCTTCAGCAGTTTCATAATTATCTAACAGCCACTGGAGCTGGAGAAAGAGACACAGTCCTGATCGTCAGATTCTCCCAAACACCAAAATGCTCACATGGACTTATTAAGAGAATAACATGCTTTCCCTCCACTAAACATGATGAGGAAATTCATTGCTACTGTTATGGATTTGGGTTCAAGAGATTCTGGGCATGTTACTTAGTAGCTTCTTTTCACTCGCTTCTTATTCCTTCAATTTTCAGCCTGGTCTTCAGGCTCCTTGCCTTAATTGAGAAAAACATGCATGGATGAAGACCACGTACAATTTGTCCTTATAGTCATTTAAACATGCACACACCCCACACACTGCTTAAACACCAAATGTCTCCTAAACCTATGGGAACGGAGATCAAGTCTAATGATGAGAAAGAGGCAGATTTAAGAAAACTCATGGGCCTGTAAGCACCATGCCCTGCATTGGCCGTGATCGTCGATGGAGACTAATATCTTCTGCAGGCCCTGACTGAGCGGAGCATAGACGGGAACTGAGTGAAATACCTAAGAGGCTCATGTGCTGGGTTGTGTGCTCAGGTCAAGGCAGGAAAAGAATCAAAAGCCAAAGTTGCTGCCCCCAGAGATCGGCAGAGTTGGACAGGCAGATGACGTCCTTGTAGAAAGCTAAGTCCCCATGGGGGGCAACATGCCTGCCCGGAAGCCCTAAGCACAATGCCCCAAGAGGTGGGATTTGATTCTGGCTTCCACGTTCCTATGTGAGTACAAAAGGCCTTAACCATGCATGGGCTTTGGGGACAGGCAGGAGCCATGTGCACAGGAACCAGCCTAAGGCAGGATTCTGTGAAGGATCCAGGATCATTGTGGGAGGTGGGGGTCTATCTAAGCTGTCGCCCCTGTCTAGACAACCCCATACCCCTGCCCAAACCCCTCTGCAGTCCTGGCATGCTGGGGTCCTGCAAGTCCCTGCACATTTTTGCCTAATTTCAGACCCAGAGTCAGCATCTCCCCTGGGAAATCAGCACCACACCTCCCCACCCATGGCCTGTACCCCACGCACTCCACACCCCATTGTGGCCCCACCCAGACTTAGCATGCAAGTTGGGAAGTCAGCCTTCATCTCTATTTAGAAATAGTTTCATAATGGAAAAGGTCTAATGTACACAGAGGTAGCAAGAATAGTCTAAGGAATTCCTGCCTCAAAAAATCAGCCTGGGGCCCATTTTATTTCAACAAAGCCCTACCTGGGCATTTAAAAATGAACCCCTTCATCTCATCCCTGGGCCTCCCCACTATCACATGGAGCCAGCTGGGGGCCCAGATGCCAGAATGAGGGAGGTTTCAGAGGTGGGGGTAGGCACACTGGAGGTGTAAGATAAAGGTGGAAGACAGGTCAAAGATCCAGGTGAAGGGGCATCTAGGGAACGGAATGAGCAGAGGGTCTTCTAACAGAAAGACAGGCATCAGGCATCGAGAAGGGCTAGGCAGCGGGCTCTGCTTGGCTGGTGTTCAGGGCACAAGTCAGGGCCAGACATGTCAATCTGGCACCAAGGAGACATCACAGGATCTTGGGGGTAAGGGATGCACAGAAGGGCTGAGGAGGAGGGAGTGGTGTCTGACACTGGGGGAAGCCAGGAGAGGTCCCCTCCCCATGCTGCTCCTGCAGTGGGATTTCTTAGTCATACAACCCTCATTGAGGGAGCCGGGTACAACTCCTGCTTATCCCTCAGGACTGGGTTTGAACCAGAGGCCACCCCACACTTGGGTCACTACAAAGCCTCCCATAGTCCTTTGTTCATTGTTCCTGAATGTGCCTATGTGTGACCCTGAGGTGTCCTCCTCCCCTAGGCTGTGAGTCTATGCAACCAATAAATGACTATCCACCCTGTCTAGTGCCTGGTGTTATGTATGTATTTGGCCATTTCTGTAACCCTGGGGGGGGGGGGGGCCCGCCTCACCAACAGGGTGAATGAGAGACCATTAAAACAGGGACAAAGGAAGGAGGGTGCAAAGCGACAATGCAGGAGGGTGGCAGCTGTCAAGGGCAGAGGGCCCTGGGCAGGGCATCCGGCTGTGTGAAGTGAACCCAAGGTCATGGAAAATAAGAAAGACCCCTGAAAAGAGATTCATCTTCTTCAAGTGTCCCTTTGGGAAAAGAACATCATAGTTTTTACATTCCATCAAGTCACTCAGAGCTTCTATTTTCAAACTTCCCTTAAATGTGCTTTTTCTGACACAGGTGGCACAGTGCCTCACTTATCCCTCAGAACTTCACTCTGCTCAGGTCTTGGAGCCCTAGGAACCATCTCCTGGGTCCTCCCTTGTCTCTGACCTCTCTCTCAACGTTTGCGCCCCAGGATCTTTTTGTTGTTGTTAATCCTCACCTGAAGATATTTGTTTCCGCTGATTTTTAGAGAGAGTGGAAGGGAGGGGTGAGGGAGCAGGGAGAGAGAGAGAGATATCACTGTGAGACACATCGATTGCTTGCCTCCCGCATGTGCCCTGACCAGGGCCAGGGATCGAACCTGCAACCCAAGTATGTGCCCTTGACCGGGACTCGAACCTATGACTCTTCAGTGCACAGGCCAACACTTGAACCACTGAGCCACACCAGCCAGGGCTGCACCCCAGGACCTTAAAGATGCCTGGAGAAACAGTGACTAAAGAAGATGAGGCCCTGAAGAGTGAACAGAACCCCAGCATGTGGGTGCAGAAGCTGGAGGCTTTTCCTCTCTGCCACCTGAGGTTGAGGGGCCCAGGGCGCCACTTCTTAGGGAATCTTCTGTGGGTGAGAGAAGCCAGGACCAGGAGACCAAGACTCAGGACTGACAGTGATGGTGGGTGGGGCAGATTGTGTGGGGGGTGGGCAGGAAGGGACACTGCACCAGTGGTCCTGAGTGAGGAAGGCTAAATCTGGCCCACCACTCATACAACTGGCTCATATGTAAAGAGAAAGGTTTGGGAAATCTGATTCCTTCCCCCAACCCAATTATTTAAATTAAAAGTAGACTTCTCTGTTTGGGTGATTCTGTGGACACCAAGGTGATCATGAAATTAAGGATGCATTATCTTCCTCCAAGTAGAAGTGACTACAGAGGGAAATGACATCACTATTAGCCATCAAAAGAATAGTTGGTTACACTTCCTCTCTCTTTTACATTGAGAAGTTACCAGGAAGAGAAACTGATTTGAGCAGCAAATGAGTAAAGACATGAAGAAGCTGAGGGAGAAAGCCATTGGAGAAGTGTTTCAGGCAAAGGACACAGCCCATTCAAAGGCTCTGAGGCGGGACTGTGCCTGGAGTATTGGAGGAAAAGCAAGGAGGCCTGTGTGTCTGGAGCAGAGTGAGAGGAGAGAGGGAGGAGGTGAGAGCAGGCAAGGGACGGGGAGGTCATGCAAAGCCATTTCAATGAACTTGGCTTCTACTAAGAAAGCAATGGGGACCCTGCAGGCTTCTGAGCAGAGAGGTGCCAGGATCTGATTTGGGTTTTAGTAGGATCACTATGGCGGCTGCTGTGAGAAGGGCCTGGGAGCTGAGGGCTGGTTAGTAGGAGGCCTCAACAATCCATGGGGCGGGGAGGGGTCGGGGGGAGCGAGTGCATGTGTGTGTGGCTGTGTGGGAAAAGTGGGACAAGTGGTCTGATTCTGGATTGCTCTGCAGGTGAGGTCAGAGCATTGGGAGGTGAGGTGTAGGAGGCAGAAAAGCAAGGACGAGCACTGGAAGGACTTGGTGAGCAGGGAAGACGGTGGGAGGGGGAGAGACTGGGGTGGTGGTGCCAGGGTTCAGCTCTCATGGCTAAAATGTGGATTTGGGGGGAGTGGTCCAGGAAGATGCCCTGGAGGAAAACGGCCAGTCCTGTCAGCAGCCAGGGTGGGGCTGGCAAGACAGTGAGGGTGGGTCAGGAATACTGAAAAAATGGCGGTCCTGTCAAGACCCCTGCTAGGCATTTGCCACAATAATTTGGAGCAACTTCTGGACAAGCGACCCATCCATGAAGCTGCCGCTCTAGCCAAGCCCCAGCTTAGTCTGCAGGTAACAGTTCTCTCATTACACCAGCCTGCAGCTGGCCATCAACAAAAGGCTAAAGGATCTTTGACAATTAGTGTCTCTTGATTAAAAGGTCATATAGTCTGAATACAATTAATCTAAAAGCAGGGTTTGGAAATAAGAGTTCATTTTAGTAGACAGTGGCCATTTCCCTATGACAGTGACTTGGTGAACATTCTGTGGGATCCCTGAGTCAGGGAGGGTTGAAATGGGGAGGGGCTTCTTGAGCTGGGATCTGAGGGACAGTAGGGTGGTGGCTCTGGGAGGAGCCTGGCACTTCCAACTCTTGGCTGGGGACCTGGACTGAGGCTTCCTCAGGTCAGACATGACAATGAAGAGGACACAGTGACACCCCAATGGGTGAAGGTGCTTTCATCCCCAGTGCCAGCTTCATCACCTCCTTCCTCTGAAACAGCTATCCCTTGTTCTCATGCCATCAAATCACAGCTACCCCTATTTTAGAGACTGCTCACGTGAGGCCCACTTCCTGCAGGATTTCCACATCAGGCTGTGAGGTTCCTTCAACCAGCAGACCCCTGGGTCTGGGCCCCCAAAAGTAACACGGGAAGCTCTGGAGGACTCTAACATCGCTGGGTCTGGAAGGTGCTGTCCAGCCTTCTCAGGCTCTGGGCATCACCACCCACCCCCACCCCAAGACAGTGCACTGGGAAGGAACCAAGTGCCGCGGAAGACAGTAACAGTTCCAAAGGTAAACCTCTGCTCTGGGTTGTGGGGAGACTTAGGTTTGTCCAGGCAGGTTTTCTCACACCTGCTGAGCTCCTGCCCTCACAGTTTAATCTTCCTGGAGTGAGTTCTTGTTCCTTTTGCTCCCATAGCCCCGATGCTGGGGGGACACTGTGACAGGGTACCCCCCCCACCCCAGCCAGGCACATCTGCTCTGCGGTTGGGCTGACAAAAGATTGGGGACTGTGGTCCACGTTGCCCAACACTAAAGCTATCTTAGCTGTAGGCAGTTATGATGACAACTGTCACAAGTGTGGCCAGCTGGCCAGAGGGCAGCCTCAGCCAGCTGAGACTATGACAGGTGCCAACAGGACACACTGCCCATCTATAAGGCAGGCCACACTCTTTACCTCTCCCCTTTTTCCCGCTCTCAATCTGCAAGGACAGGTCCAGGGGGTTCCACCCAGTGTGCACGGTCAACTCTTTAGAAAGATCTTCTGTCTATTCCCTTTGACTCCAAATCGCCAAGGCCCAGCTCCTGAATCTCACAACTCTTGAGGGGAGGAGGCTCAACCACAGATCATCAGGGAGAACACAAACATGAGGAGATTTCCTGCTCTGAAAGTCAATTCAGGCCCTGGCCAGTTTGGCTCAACAGTTAGAGCACTGGCCTGCGGTCCAGAGAGACCCGGGTTTGGTTCCCGCTAAGGGCGCGTACCTCGGCTGCAGATTGTCCCCAGCCCTAGTTGGTCATGTGGGTGGCAGCCACTCAACGTGTCCCTTTCACGTCAATGTTTCTCTCTCTCTCTCTCTCTCTCTCTCTCTCTCTCTCTCTCTTCCTCTTTCTCCCTCCCACTCTATCTGAACAAAAAAATGGGGAAATGTCCTCAGGTGAGGATAAAAAAAAAAAGAAGTCAACTCAGGAATGTAAACTGGCTGGAAGCACCCAGGAAAGTCTGCCTTTTAAAAGGAAAGTGTTAGAAAGCCAGAAGCAGCCCTGCAGCCAAACCAGCTGCTCATGCATTTCCCAAGACATTTCAAATTTCCCATGGACACACATGCTGCCTGCTGGGGTCTTCACCCCTATCCTGCCTTCCTCACAGGGCTCTCTCCATGGTCCACAGGCTGTGACGTGGTCACATATGTCTGCTTAACAACTGAAGAACACCTGTCCCAGTTGAACAGACTATCATTCTGCAGACTTCTACCTGGTGCACTCTGATTTTGACAGGGGTGGGGCTAAGTGTCCTTCCCTCCAAGCACTCAGTGAAGATTTTCCTCCCCAGATATGTCCACAAGGTGACTTTGTCCAGCAGTGATGGACATTAGGGTGGCCACAACCCACCTACCTTGGGCGGGTGGGGGGAGGGCAGAGTACTCTGGAGGGGCCTGATGGTCTTGTGTTTTTCCTTTGAGACAACTGGTGTGAGTCTGCTATTCCTTCTAGTGACCAGCCTCTGAGGCTGAGGAATACAGAACCTCATCACGTGTGCAGCTGGAGCAGCTGGCCATGCCAGTGCCAACCTATAAACCCAGAAGTTTTGGGGCCTTCTCTAGCTGGGCTCTGCCCCAGAACCACTGCCTTTCAAGCAACACTTCACCGGGACGAAAGTCTTGATGGGTTCATTTAGGATTGTGATCGACTACAGGGGACTTCTTTTTCTTGATGTTTTAATTCTCAAGAGAATTAAAAAGATTTGGGGTCAAATCCCAACCTAAGTGCTTGAGAAGCACATTCTAACTTCAGTGGGCTGTTTTACATTCATATTTCAGTTACACATAAAGCTGAACTGACAGCATTTGTAGGAGCAGAGGGAAGGGAGGAATGTGAGGAGACCAGAGCTTTCCTTCTTAACTGTCCCAGGAAATAGAGACTCTGAATCGTCACTTCCTCTGTCTTGCCCCATGAAGCTGCCCAGAGACAAAGACATTTGCCACCTCCTGGCATGGGATCCATGATCACAGTTTTCCTCAAGAGGCAAGTGAAGGAGAAAGATTTTACAAAGCCCAATCAGTAGGAATGAGATGCTTTGCATTTTTATCAAATTACTTTTTTTTTCTTCTTCAAAAAGCTGATCACAGGAAACTTAGCTAAGAAACTTTATGGCATTCCCTATCCTGTGTCATCCTTTGTTACTGCTGCTTGTTTTAGTATTAACTGTATTTATAATGCTTGTGATCTGCCAGGCATTGCTGGAAGCATGTCACGTGTATTAAATACTCTAATCCCCATAACATGCCTCCAAAGAGGTAGGTACTCTTGATCATCTACCTTTAGGAATGAAGAACTTGCCTCCATTCTCCTTACACTATAGGATATTTTTGCTGCCTATAGAACATTAGGCTGGCTTTTCTCTCCCTTTCAACATTTTAAAGGTATCATGTCATTTCCTTCATTCTTTTTGAAATGCTCACGCAGGTACGTGCACATTGGGGCAGACCACCAGGCGACACACACTTACATGACTGTTGAGTAAACCGCTTTTGTGTGATGTGATCCCTTCGCTTTTTTGGAGGTTTTCGATCGCCATTTCAAGCTAAAGAAAATGTGTGCGAAAACAAAACAAAACAAAATGGAAAAAAAAAAAAAAGGGAAATCAGATGGTTAGCATCAGCCAAGATTTGTTTTTATTAATATCCAAATAATGATTCAAGCGCCTACAAAATAAAAATAAGGCTTGACGCAGGCATGGGAGATGGGTTAAGTTGTGAGTTGAAGCCATAGCCAGGAATGTTACTTTGTTACATGCAGATGAACCCAGGAGCCCATGGAGTACAAGCAGCAGATGAAGTTATGATGTGAACACTGGCTATTAAGTGGAACACAATATTTGCATGTGCACATGCACAACATGAACACTTAGTCGCTGCATAAGTTCAAGTTTAAGCAAAGTCAGCAGAATAATCACCTGCTGCTCCCCATACATGTCATCTGTTGCTAGGGAGAATAAGATAACCAACAGAGCCCAAGGACAGTTGGTGACACTGACTTCCTGGCCAGCCTGTCCTGTCACAAATCCAGGGTCTCTCTCCTGGATGCTTCAGGAAAATACCAATGAGGCCAAAAACCCAGGCCTTGCCATCAGAGGCAAAGGACCCTGGAGTCACTGGACATGTCACAGAGATAAGCTCCTGAATATTTATGAGGCATGAGCTGTGCAAAGAGGGTTATACGACAATGAGAATGGAGTCACAGGGGAAAGTCATGTGAAGCTATCAGGGAGGCCTTCCTAGGTGAAGGGGCTTCTCAGTTGGGTTATAAGGATCTCATGGAGGCGAGGAGCTTAGGTGGTGTCACAGGTCTAAGCAAAGGAAGAAACACCCAATTATGTGTGGCTACCAAGTTTGTGCATGCCGAATTTGACCTTGACTTGTACATGGAAAATGGAAATGTCAACTCTGCTTAGGCCCACGATAGGCAGAGAACTGCAATGAAAGGAAATGAACTTAAAGCATACGCTGTCTGTCCTCAAATACCAGGAGAAGCAAAGACTTCATTCAGTGGCGCTTCTGCAAAAAACAGGCTGAACGCGTATTCCCTAAAGTACAGCTGGACTGGGTTCAGGAACTAGAGGGATACTGCTTCACCCATCACTTCTATTTTTTTTTTTTTAATCCTCACCCAAGATACATTTCCCATTGGTTTTAGAGAGAAGAAAGGAGAGAGAGAGAGAAAGAGAGAAACATCGATCAGTTGCCTCCTGTACACACCCTGACCAGGGATTGAACCCTGGGTATGTGCCCTGACCGGGAATCTGAAGTGCCACAACCTTTCAGTGTATGGTACAATGCTCTAACCAACTGAGCCACACTGGCCAGGGCCCATCACTTCTTTTGACCACCGCTGTTTATGTCTACTCTTGCCATTTCTATTCAACACTGTACCAAAAGTTCTGGTCAGGGCAATTAGACAACAATAACAAATAAAAGGCACCCAAATGGGAAAGGAAGAAATGAAACTATCTATATTGCAGATACCATGATCTTAAAGGATCCACTAAAAAAAATCTTAAAGGATCCACTAAAAACAATTAGCGCTCATTACTGAATTCACAAAAGTTGCAGGATACAAGATCAACATACAAAAATCAGTTATATTTCTAAGCAATGAACAATGTGAAAAGGAAATTAAGAAAACAATCCCATTTATAATAGCATTAAAGAAAATAAATACTGCCCTGGCCGGTTTGGCTCAGTGGTTGGAGCGTCGGCCTGCGGTACAGAGAGACCCGGGTTCGGTTCCCGCTAAGGGCACGTACCTTGGTTGCAGTTTGTCCCCGGCCCTGGGTGGTCGTGCGGGTGGCAGCCACTCGATGTGTCCCTTCACATCGATGTTTCTCTCTCTCTCTCTTCCTCTCTCTCCCTCCCGCTGAACAAAAAATGGAAAAATGTCCTCGGGTGAGGATAAAAAAAAGAAAATAAATCCCTAAGAACAAGTTTAACCAAGGAGGTGAAATACTTGTACAATAAAAACTATAAAACCCTGTTGAAAGAAACTAAAGATGACTAAAAGAAACAGAAAGGTACCTCATGTTTGTAGATTGAAAGACAATATTGTTAACATGGCAAAACTCTCCAAACTGATCTACAGATCAATGCAATCCCTATCAAAATTCTCTATTAAACTTCTAACTGCCTTTCAGAAATGGACAAATTGATCCTAAAATTCATATGGCATTGCAAGAGACCCCAAATAGCCAAACACAGTCTTGAAAAAGAAGAACAAAGTTGGAAGACTCACACTTACCAATTTCAAACTGAATACAAAGTTACAGTAACTGCCATGGCCAGTTTTGCCCAGTGGTTAGAGCATCGGCCCGTCAGACCAAAGAGTGGAAGTTCAATTCTGGTCAAGGGCACGGACCTCACTTGCGGTTTGATCCCTGCCCCTGGCTGGGGTCATGCGGGAGGCAACCAATCTATGTGTGCCTCTCACATAGATGTTTCTCTCTCTTCCCCTTCCGCCCTCCCACTCAATCAGGACAAAAAGTTATAGTAACCAACACACAGCATAGTACTGAGATAAGAATAGACATGCAGATCAATGGGACAGAACTGAGACTCTAGAAATAATCCCATACATCTATGGGCAATTGATTTTTTACGAAGGTGACAAGACCATTCAATGGAGAAAGAATAAAGTTTTCAACAAATGGTGCTGGGATACCTGCACAGCCACATGCAAAAGAATTAAGCTAGACCCCCACTTACTCACATCATATACAAAAGTCAACTCAAAATGGATCAAAGAACTAAATGAAGGAATGAAACTATAAAACACCTAGAGAAAAACATCAGGTAATCATGTAAAACAAAGTTTTCTTCATGACCTTGGATTTGGCAATGGATTCTTAGATATGGCATCAAAAGCACAAACAACAAAAAATAAAATTAAAGATAAACTGGACTTTATCAAAATTAAAAACTTTTGTGTATCAAAGGACACTATTAAGAGAGTGAAAGGACAACCCACAGACGGGAGAATGTATTAGTAAATCATGTATCTGGATAAGGTCTTATATTTAGAATATAAAAAGAACTCTCACAATTCAATGACAACCCAACTAAAAATGGCAAAGGGCTTCAATAGACATGTCTCCAATAAGCAACTGAAAAGATGCTCAACATCATTAATCATTAGGGAAATACAAACTAAAACCACAATGAGATACTACTTCACACCCACCAATATGGCTAAAAAAGGAAAAAGAAAGATAACAAGTGTTGGGGAAAAAAATGTGTAGAAACTGGACCCCTTATACATTGTAGGTGGAATGTCAAATGATGCAGCTGCTATGGAAAACAGTATGGCGTTTCCTCAAAAAGTTAAACATAAACCCAGTTAAACCATATGACCCAGCAATTCCACTCTTGGGTATGTATTCAAAAGAACTGAAAACAGGTGTTTAAATAAAAACTTGTACACAAATGTTCACAGCAGCATTATTAATAATGGCAAAAAAAGGGGACAAGTCCAAATATCAATCACAGATGAATGGATAAACACAGTGTGGTCCATCCACACCCTGGAGTAGTACTCAGCCATAAAAAGGAATGAAGTACTGACACGGGCTACAATATGGATGGACCCTGAAAACATCTCTCAGTGAGAGGAGCCAGACACAAAGTGCTACACAGTGTGTGATTCCATTTATGTGAAATGTCCACTGAGTTTGCAGATCTTCCAAATGTTGACACATTTCATTACATAATATTTACAAAAAGCACATTTGTTAATATCACTACCAATCTCATTGGAAAGATACCCAGTTTTTCAAAATTATCTCTTTCTTTCTTCTTCTTTTTTTTTTTTTGTTTGTTTGATCCTCACCCGAGGATATTTTTCCATTTTTTGTACAGATAGAATGGGAGGGAGAGAGAGGAAGGGAGAGAGAGAGAGAGAAACATCGACGTGAAGGGACACATCGAGTGGCTGCCACCCGCACGACCAACCAGGGCCGGGGACAAACTGCAACCGAAGTACGTGCCCTTAGCGGGAACCGAACCCAGGTCTCTCCGGACCGCAGGCCGACACTCTAACCGCTGAGCCAAACTGGCCAGGGCTTCTTTTTTTTCTTTTTTTTTTTTGGTTGAAAATGTACTGGCAATAAAATCTGTCAGTTGTTTTCATGGATACACCGGGTTTACACCATTTATTTTTGAGAAAATGTCTGTCACATCTCTGAGTCTGAATAATCACAATTTCTCTGTTATTCTTTCAAGCAAAAATGACATTTCATGAAAAAAGTGGCTAGTTCTGCTCACAACTCATTGCATAGGAGCTTTTCCTCGAGATAGTCACTGTACATTGGCATACAGCAGAACTGTTTGTCACATAGAATATTAAAAAGATGTGTACTCGCCCTGGCCAGTTTGGCTCAGTGGTTAGAGCGATGGCCCATGGACCAGAGAGTCCCGGGTTCGTTCCCGCTAAGGGCATATATTTGGTTGCAGTTTGTCCCCAGCCCCGGTTGGGGTTGTGTGGGTGGCAGCCACTTGAAGTGTCTCTCTCATATCGATGTTTCTCTCTTTCTACCTCCCACTCTATCTAAAGATAAATGCAAAAAAAAACCCCAAAAACAAAAAAAAGTGTACTCAAGGATTGATATTTAATACAATTAATACTTTCTTACTACTTCATTAAGGACATTCTTAAGTAAAACTGGTATTTGGTATTTTATTTCTCTTATCTTTTTCTTTTTTATCCTCACTCGAGGACATTTTTCCATTTTTTGTACAGATGGAGTGGGAGGGAGAGAGAGGTAGAGAGAGAGAGGGAAACATCGATGTGAAAGAGACACATTGAGTGGCTGCCACCCGCACGACCAACCAGGGCCGGGGTCAAACTGCAACCGAGGTACATGCCCTTAGCCGGAACCGAACCCGGGTCTCTCCGGACCGCAGGCGGACGCTCCAACCGCTGAGCCAAACCGGCCAGGGCTCTCTTATCTTTTTCTTTCTTACTGGAAATATGATGGTGAAGGATACAGTGACTTCCAGGAAAGTTTGATGCCTCTGCCTTGATTCCTGCCTTAAT